TAAAATAATAAACTAATAGCTTTTAATAATAACTTATAAACTTTCTTATTATTCTTTTCTTTTAATTAATGCAATTATTTAACTTAAGGGCAATAAGTTACTAGCTTTTATTACTTTAAGCTTATATATATTGCTATATTTATTTATTTATAATTAAGCCCTCTTCCTATCTTTCTTTCTTTTTTTTCTTCTTACCTTTATATAATTATTAATTTAATATTAAAAGTTAATTATTATTTAGCTATTTTAATAAAAATACACTTTTAATATATTAAGCTTTTCCCTTATTTAATTCTTATTTAGGAATAAATAATAATTATTTATAAAAGTTGCTTTAAGTTATAATTAAATATTAATTATATTTCTTCTTTATTTTTAACTTTCTTTATCTTAATTACTTATATAGCAATTCTTAAAAGTATAAGGCTCTTTTTATTATTATACCTTCCCTTTTTATTACTTAATTTTTATTATTTACTTTTTATTTTATTACTTATTTCCTTTACTTTCTTTTTTTATAATTAAAAATTAAAATATTTTTTAATTAAAAAGATAAAATAAAAAAGTAATTTTAATTATCCTTATATTATAAGGTACTTTAAAACCTTAATGCCTTAATTTTAATAATTAAACTTATTATTTTAAAAAAAATAATCTTATATTAATAATTATAAAACTTCCTTACTTTAATAACTTTAAAAACTTACTTAATAAAGTATTATAATTTCTAAATATTATTAATATATAAAATTAATAAAACTTTACTTAAAAAGTAAATATTAACTTTTTTAAAGATTTTTTAAAATAAAAATTATTATAAATAAAGTTTATTTAAATAATATTTAATAAACTTAAACCCTTAATTATTTATTATTCTTTAATATAAAATAAATAGCATTTAATAATAAGCTTATAAAGATAATATAAAAATACTTTTTAAGTATTAATCTTTATTTTAAGCTAAGAAAATTAATTAAATTAATAAACTTAATAAAATAATATTAAGCCTTTTTTACCCTTAATTTCTTTAATATAAAAAGGATGCTTTATAAATATAAAAAATTAAAAACTTAGCATATTATAACCCTTATAACTTAGTAACTTTTTAATTTTTAAGACATTATATTTTTATTTAAAAAATCTTTGCATTATAATTATACCTTACTTATAAAATATTAATAATATAAATTAATAAAGAATTATGAATTTATTATTATATTTATTTATATACTTAATTATTAAATAATAGCAATTTTTAATAAAATAAAGAATTATTACTTATTATAAAATAATCTTATATTAAGAAATAAAAATAGTAAGATAAATAAAAATATTAAAGCGCTTATTTATAAATATTTAATAATTACCTTAAAAAATAAAATATAAAATTTTAATAATTACCTTAAAAAATAAAATATAAAATTTTAATAAAAAGTTTATATTAAAATTAAAATAAATTAATAAAGTATTTTATAAGTAATATATTATTAAGTTTATTAAAAATTACTTTAAGGAAAACTAAGGAAAGAATAATTAAAAGGTATAAAATTAAGCTAAGGCTACTTTAATTAAAACTATATACCTTAAAATGCTTAAAGCTATTGCTAGCATTGCTATTTAAATATTTACTATTTAATTAAAGCTTAATGAAATTAATAAAGTTATTTAAATGCCTATATTAATTCTCCTTATTAGGATTAATAGCATAAAAGTAATTAAAGTAAAAAATAAGCTTTTATTATAAAGAGAAATTATTTAATAATAGCTATTTAAATTATAATATATTAAGATTATTATTAATTAAAAAAAAGGTATAAGGGAAATAATATTTTTAATATAAATTAATTTAATAACTTAATTTTAAATATTTAATATATAATAAGGTATAAATTTTTATATAGCTTAAAATTAATTAAGTAAAACTTTAATTAAATAAGCCTTTAACCTAAGCATTATATTATAAAATATTTTAAAGCTAGCAAGGAATGCTTACCTTAGCATATATAAGGATTTTTTTTATTTACTTATTTTAATAATAAATATAAATAAAACTTAAAGCATGCTAGCTAACCTTAAGTAATTAAAGCAATAATTAAGTTTGCTTAAAAATAATTTAAAAAGCTTATAAATAAGTTAATTAAGTAATTAAATATAAGATATAAAATTTAAAAGCAAAAGCTTTATAAAAAGTAAAAGTAAAAATTAATAAAGTTAATATATTATGCTTAATATAACAATTAAAAAAAAGAATAAATTTACTTTTTATTTTATAAAAATATTTAAATTTTTAATAGCTATGCTAATATTAATTATTAAATTAAACTTTAATAATTAAAAGAATATAATTAATAAATATATTGCTAAGTAAGTTTTAAAAATATTTAAAGCTTTTATAAAAAAGCAAAAGCTATAATAAAATAAGTAAGTAAAAAATTAAAGATAATAATAATAATTAAAATTATAACAAAGTAAATTTTAAAACTTAAAGGCTTAATTAAAGGTAATAAGGCTTTATTTTAATAATTTTTGCAATAATTATTATAAAGTGCTTAAAAAAGAGTATATTAATAGGTATAAAGAAATATGTAAGAAATAATATTATATTAAATTCTAGCTGGCTATAAAAAGCTAGCTTTTACGCTTATTTTAAATATTCTTAAAAAAAAAACTCTTCTTTTTTTTTATATATTTAGTGCTTTAATTAAGCTTTTCTTATTTTTAAGAATTTTTAAAATACTTGCCTTTTCCCTTCTTTAGCTCCCTTTTATTCTTATCTTCCTTTTCTATTGCGTTAGAGCTCCTCCTTGAGTTGTTCTTAAGAAGGTTTAGCAGAACCTATCCCCTATTTATTTGGGTGGCTCGTTTTCAATATTAAATAATAATTCTTTTCTTATTTTATTTAAAAAGGAATTTAATTCCTTTTTAAATAAAGATTTTGAAAATAATACTTAATGTATAGCGTATATTATTAATTTAATAACGCAGGATATTTTAAAGAATTTTACTTTAAATTTAAAAGTTAAAGATTATTTAAATAAATATTCCTAAAATCTTAAGGAAATTATAATATTAAATAATATTATTAAAAATAGTAAGTATTTCTTAATTTCTTTATATTATTATATATTAATATTTTTTTTAAATATAATGATTTATATATAATAAATAATTATATTAACTTAATATAATATTAAGATTAATAGTTTATTATTTAATAATATTAAAAAGGCTATATAAAGTAAATCCTTACTAAAGGATTATAAAAAATCTCATATCCCTTTAAATATTTATTTAATATTTCTTTTTATAAATAATAAAAGAAATTAAATATTAATTTAATATTAAATACCTTTATATATTAAAATTCTACTTATATAATGTTAAAGGTTTTCTTAAAATTAAAGGAACCTTTAAATTATATAAGTAAGAATACCTTAAATTAAAAATATAAAGATATATTCTTTAGCACATTTAATTATTTATTCTTGCGCAAATTAAAAAAACTTTTAAAGTCTTTTTAAAACCTTTTATTAAATTATAAGGAGAGTTATATATAACTCTTTCTTAAGGGCTATTATATATTTATTAAATATATAATAAACTAAAGAACTTAATAAGAAAGTATAAAAGAAAGTATAAGTAAAAGCTAAACTTTATAAGTTACTTTTTATTTTATTTTAAAAGAAATATAATACTAATTATATAAATAAAAAGAATATTTATCTATATTTATTAAAGCTATTAAAATTAGCTTAAATAAATTAAAAAAATAGTTTCCTTAAAAATTAATTAAAAATAATTTAAAAGATTATAAATCTTTTATTTTAGCTTTAATTTTAAACCCTAGCTTTAAAATATCCCATTTTCAAGTAAATAGGTATTTATACTTTTATTTAAATATAAAAGAAGATATTAAAGCTCTTTTAAGGATTAAGTTTAATAAGTAAGTTTTTTTATTAATTATTCTTTATTACTTTTATATTTATATTAATATTTATTAAGGTTAAATTAGAAATTTCTGATTTAAATAAAATTATATTTAATTCTTTACTTATTAATTCCCCTTAATGAAACTATAATTTTAATAATGAATTATATATTAATTCTTTTTTTAATAATAATAAAGAAAAGTATATAATTTATTTATAAGAACCTACTTATAATTCCAAGGTATATATTTTTTAAAAAAGATTTAAACTTTTTTAAAAATAAATTTTAATATTTAAATAGTTGCATTTATTAAAGTATTGGAAAAATAATAAATTTTAATACCTTATATTAAGTATATTAGCCTAAAAATATCTTGCTATTTCAGCTATATTTATTGCTATAAAAAGAATATTTTCTATTACTAATAATATTATTATTAAGTTAAGGGTTAATCTTAATATAAAGATAATAAGGGAATTAATATTATTAAAGAATTAGAAATTTAATAGTATTTAAGAGTTGAAAAAGGAAATTAAAGATTTAAAGGAAATAATAAATTAATAAATTTTATAATATATTTTATAAAGTTTATTTAATTTATATTATATATATATTACTTATTTTAAATAAACCTTATAATTTAATTTATAAAAAATTAAAATATATAAGTATTAATAATTACTTTAAAACTATATAATATATATATATATAATATAAATTAAATAAACTTTATAATTTAATTTATAAAAAATAAAAATATATAAGTATTAACAACTGTTTTAAAATTATATAGTTATTAAAAGAATAAATAAAATAAATATATAGCGAAATATATAATTTACTTTTAAAATAGCTTATAATTAAAGCATTATATTAATAAATTAATAAATAACCCTGCTTCTTAAAGTTTAAATAATATAATAAAACCTAGATTATTAAGTTTTAAAATATCCCTTAAGGCCTTTAATAACTATAAATTAATATAATATTAGCTATAGCCTTTTAAAGAAAATAAATTAATCTTTTCTTAATAATAACCTAGGTAATTACTATAGTTACATGCTTTACCGCTAAACTACGGTAATACCTATTAGTAAAAAAAAAAAAACTTATAAACTAAGTTTAATATTTAAAAAAAAGAATATATTTTATATTATTAAGGAAAAATTTATTTATTAAAAATACTTTATATATTAATAATCTTTAAATTTTATTATATTTAATAAAACTTTTAATAAATATTAAATATTATTATATATAAGAATGCAAGGTTATAAAGTTTTGTTATTATTATTATTATATGAGTTATATAAGCTTATTAATTAAACCTACTTATTTTAAACTTTGTAAGTTTAATTTTAAGTATATTTATTATATTTAAGTTTTAAAAGTAATTTTAAAAATAATATATTTATAAAAATAAATAAGCCTTAATAAGCTTTATATTTAGTTTTAAAATAAAGCATTTATAAGGGCAAATAAGCCTTAATAAGCTCTATATTTAGTTTTAAAATAAAGTATTTATAGGGGTAAATAAGCCTTAATAAGCTTTATATTTAATTTTAAAATAAAGTATTTATAAGGGTAAATAGGTTTTAATAAACAAGAATAATAAAATTATATATAACATTTTTAAAGATTTCTTTTTATATATAAAAATAATATTATTATACTAAGAAAAGTTTTAATATTATTATATAATTATATAAAGTATTATTTAATTTTTATATTTAAGGTGAAATTAATATATTCTTTTATATTTGTTTTTCTAAAGAGCGAATAATTTTAAATAATATTTTATTTATTAAGTTATAAATAAAATCTATTAAAAAGTATTTTCTATATAATTTTAAGTTTTTTATGTAAAGAGATATTAATAATTATATTTAAGTAGTGACGTTAAGGGTAGGGGGCATGGGGGGGGTGGTTATGTCCTAAATAAGCAATTGCCATTTAGCAAATTTAATATAAATATATTAAAACCTTTATTTTTAAAAAGCCATAAGTATTTTAAAGAATTAATTATATAAAGAAAAATTATATTATATAAAATATAAAATTTTATAAAATTTAATAAAAATAATATATAGTTTATAAATAAAATAATAAATAAAAAAGAATTTAAAAATCTTTAAAAAAAGAAGTTTATTTCCTTATTATATAAGATACAATAAGCTAGTAATAAATATTACACCCCTTAATAATAATTTATTTTACGCATATTACGTCTTATTTTTCAGAAATAAACTAACGTTATATATCATTAGGCCATAGCGAGAGTTTAGGTTGTTAGTTCTTTTTAAAAGAAATTTAATACATATATTTAAAAAAAGATATTTATATTAATTAAATAATAATTATAATAAGTAAGTTAAATATAAAATTAAAAGTTAATATTATAATATTATAAATTAAATAATAAACATAAATTTAATTTTATTAAAAAGCTTTATTTATTTATTTATTTATTTATTTATTTATTTATTTATTTATTTATTTATTTATTTATTTATTTATTTATTTATTTATTTATTTATTTATTTATTTATTTATTTATTTATTTATTTTTATTTATTTATTTATTTATTATTTATTTATTTATTCATTTATTTATTCATTTATTTATTCATTTACTTATTTATTTACTTATTTATTTAATTTATTTAATTTAAAAATTATTTTAGTTAAACTTAATTAACTAAAAAACTAAAAACTAAAAACTAAAATTTTTTAGTTTTTAGTTTTTAGTTAAACCTATTAACTAAACTAATTTTTTTTTAGTTTTTAGTTTTTAGTCAGACCCATTAACTAAACTAAACTAAACTAATTTCAACCCTGGTGGTGGGAATGAACTCGGGCATGTTCGAACAGGCTGCCTTTGCCCGCGGATCTTGTTGGTTAGGAACCCATTGCCCCTTTTGCAAGAGAAGGCGGCTGTCTTTAGTTGGGGCCTTTTCCCAGACCTCGTCTTTGACCAACCCCGGCACATTTTTCGCCTTTTTCTCATGCCGTACATACCTCGTCCTCCCTACCCCGCCTATTTCGACCACCCACGGTCCGGTCGTGCACGGCTCGCGACTCGCGACAGACCCGGGAGATGATTGGGGGTTTGGCATTGATCTGGCTGGTTTTTCTCATGATGCAGCTGAAGCGATCCTCGAGGATCGGGCTGCCGTCTTCGGGGGGGGGGGGGGGGGGCGATTCATACGGCAGGTCTAGGACAAAGTCGTCCTCAGGGAGGTCGAGTTCGATAACGCGGCGTGGGAGACACTCCCGCCAGATGGCGTCTCGGAGCTCGGGTGGGAACTTACGGAATAGGTGGAACGAGGTAGCTGCGGTGGCCATGTTGGTAAGGGTTGTGATGAGGAGAAGAGAGTCGTAGCCTTGCGCATCACCTGCCGAGACTCTTTTCAGAGGGGAGAAAACCACAGGAATCGGTAAGTGCAGAGAGTTGCAAATGGCATGGGCGAGCTGGTGTTGGTGGCTTTATATAGTTCAAAGGTGTGGGTCCGATCTGGACTGAGACCGGAAATATGCCATCATCTACGGGCCCGTTCATCTACAATCTACCAAAGTCGAGCTTACTACTCTCATATATCGACTTTGCTGCCGCAACCAACTTTGTGCATGCTCATGCGACAGCAGCATCCTAGAGGAAAACATACAGCTTGTGTTACGTGCTTGATGGCCCTACTCAGGGGCAGTACAGCGGTGTCTGAACCAAACGAACATGCATTTCCATACAAGGCAGCCGTCACCGCATACGTACAGAATTTAGCGAACTTTGGATCTGGGCGGTGAACATGATTTTCGCGTGCTCAGTGAGTTTAGCACGCCGGTTATTTGAGTACCTAGGTAGAGGCCTCGCTTGTGACCTTATGTTGCCCTTGCCAATCTCCAAGATCACTCATGTCCATTCGTCTCCCCCAATTCCTTTTCTTCAGCCAAGAGTAACCAGTAGTCATGACACCAAGGACTCGACACCTTTCCAAAAGATCACCGGATCGCCTAGCTCCCTCACCTCCCCTAGTCCTCAGTTGGTTGTCATGTCGTTGATGTGATGCATGGGTAGTTTTGAGCTGCTTGACATCGACCCACCGTGCTCATTGTGCCTTCTGCCAACCATTCGCGCCGCAACGGCCGAAAGAGGAAGTCGGCAGAGAGGAATCCTCTGTCGACTTGGGCCTTGCTACTGTGTACATGCAGAGGTTCGCGCTTTGCTCAGCGAAACAGCGGGGCCTCGTATGAAAAGCAGCGAGGCTCCCGTGGTTCGCTAGTAGGGTCAAGGCGGGAGGCTGTATTTGTGAAGGCAGCAATGTCCCACTCCTCTCCTATCAGGACGAGTTGGACGGGCACTCGGGCGGGAGCGAGAGCCACGGAACAGTCTGGTGGGGGCACAGAATTCAGCATGAGAACGCCGAGGAGTCGATATCTTGCCCTCCTGAGACCAAGCTTGAACACGGGGAGGGGGACGTTGGACGACCTGGAGCCTCGGGGTTGACATGTATAGCTTTGATTATCGGGTGTTTGAGGGATGGATACGGTCCCTAGGAATTGGCATAGCGCTGCTGAGACTGGATTATTCCAGACGGCGGTCAGTGGCGGAAGCTGGTGCTGTCGAGCTTGGCGTCTCTGTGACCGGCGGAAGAAGCCGGGACTCTAGGTGATGTTTCACGGCTGTAATTCGATGGTGATCAGACTTACAAGGATCCAAGTAGCGGCCCCATGTTGCGATGGCAACCGTCAGCGACCAGAGGCTGGGCATCTGGGCAAGTTCGAAGCTGAAAGTGAAGCGCAGGAAAGTTGCCTCGGTTCGAGACATGTTTGCCCAAGAAATGCCTCCGCGTCCCAGGTCGCACCAAGGCGTGCAAGCCCGACACTATCGAGGAGGATGGGAGCCTCGCGTGTGTTCATATTCATGGTGTGCTGCCTGGATGGAACAATCGGAGCTTTTCCAGGAGCCAAGCCCAGGCGACAGATGCGATTGGACTCGATCAGCGCTGCAGTGCGGGTGGTTGGATTGCAGGGCAGGGCCAAGACCTTCTCGAACGTCTGGCTGTTTGACTGACTCTTCCATCTATGTCTCCCAGGGACCAGATTTGCATCTGAGATGGTAGACGATATCAAGATGCAGTGGAGAAACTCGGACGAGCATCTGAGTGCCGCGATGGACCGACATCCGTCTGTCCAGCTGCCACCTGGATCGTCAACGGGGGAGGGGGGGGGGCCCACAACTTCAGACGGCTCCTCCGTCAATCGTCACCTGCTGATTGATCGATCCATCCGTCCATCCATCCACCGACTGACCGGCACTGGCACCTGGCCTGGAGCCAAGATCCCGTGTGGTGGCCGTCTAAGTTTTGACAGCCGCACGACGAAATAGGAAATGGCCGCGAGGGATCGAGACGCGTGTCTACTGCCGTACACCACAACTTACTACCCACCATCTATCTCTCTCTGAGAAGGGATGGCAGAGAGGCTAGGGACGGTGTACCGAGGCAGGGGACGAGCCACTCCATCAGCTTCCCCAGATTCCGGGGGCTTGCCTCACTTGCGTGGGGACTGGGCCCTCCTCGGGCATGGTAACCGCTTGCAGCCTGGACCGGTCTGGGCAGCGGCTCAATTGCATTGCGCCCAGAGGGGACGGCCCCAGATTGTGCCCCGGCCTGCCCTACCCCAACCCCCGCAAACACAGTGGGCCCCCCGTTTCGTTGACGATGCCAACCGGGGACGAGGCAGGACCTGACAGCCAGCGCACTCACTTTCTTGATGGGCCATGATGCGCTACCCGTCTCCTCAGGGGGGGGGGGTTCTCTACCCCGCGCACCACCACCGCGCTGTGTCTTGGCTTTCTGGCCAGACTCGCCCCGGATTGGACCACACGACATCGGCTCCATTACATCGGGCATCTGGGCAAGGACACAGCGAGGAGGGACCTGGCAGCTCTGAGAGACCGGCGACGATACGAGGACACTCTGGGGCGGGCGAGACACGTCTGGAGGGTCTGCCTCGGACGAGGTGCTCAGTACTTGCAAATGTACATGAACGCCATGCTGCCCCCTTCCTGTCGCTCATTCGGGCACCCACGCATCAGTGTCACACCCGTCCAATGCTGACCGCCTGGCTGTAGTCGTCTGTAAGTAAGAACTCAACCATCACCTACTAGACTGCATCATATCTCCGTGCGCCTGCCCAGGGATCACGGCGATGCTACCCAAGTCAATCTTGTCCCCGGCGGTCAAAAGACTGTGCTCGAGGTTCCACATTTTGTCCCCAAAGCTAATTCAGCCGGCAGATAAAGGGCATTCCACATCCTCTTCCCCTTCTCCACGACGGAGACTCGGGACTTTTCCTCTCTCCCCCCCGCGCTCCATCCACTTGCCCAGCGCGACACAAGATACCCACCCAAAGGCGGCAACATGGACCGCAACAGCGAGAAGCTGGGCGTCGACCAGATCGACGACAACACGGCGTACCAGACCGACTCGAACATCCTCGACCATGAGTTCACGCCCGCCGAGCAGAAGCGCATCATCCAGCGCATCGACCGCCGCCTCGTCACCACCGTCGGCTTCATGTACTGTGTGTCCCTCATGGACCGCACTAACTTGGGCGCTGCCGTCATTGCTGGCATGGGGACGGAGCTGATGCTCATTGGGGACCGATACGTGAGTGAAGCGGCCATTCCAGACCTTGATACCTCTGGCTAACGCTGTCTGGCCAGTCGATCGTCACTCTTCTATTCTTCGTGACCTACATCATATTCCAGCCGCCTTCGACCGTCATCTGTCGTTCCATCGGTCCGAGATTCCATCTTGCGGGAGTCACCCTTCTCTGGGGCGCTTGCATGATTGGCATGGGCTTCGTCTCTAAATGGGATCAGCTTGCCGGGCTCAGAATTATCCTGGGGCTGCTCGAAGCTGGCTTCTTCCCCAGCTGCGTCTACCTTCTCAGCACATGGTACACACGATGTAAGTGGCCGGCCAAATCCTGCCTGTCTCTCATCACCTTCAGGATGAGCGCAAACTCACAGCTCGACCAGATGAGATGGGCAAGCGCTATGCAGTCTTCTACCTGCTGGGATGTGTCGCGTCCGCCTTCGCAGGCATCCTGGCCTACGGGCTCATGCAGATGAACGGGCTCGCAGATCTGACGGGATGGCGCTGGATCTTCATCATCGAGGGAACCCTCACCTGCGTGATCGGCATCGCCGGCTACTGGCTCCTCGTCGACTTCCCGGACTCCAAGAGGAAGTCGTGGCGCTTCCTGCCGGAGCGCGAGCGCGCTTGGGTCGTGGCGCGGGTCAACGCCGACCGCGGCGACGCAAAGGTCCACGCCTTCTCCATGGCCAGCTTCTTGCGCGGCGGCATGGACTGGAAGATCTGGGCGTACGCGCTCATCTTCTTCAACACCACCACCATCACCTACGCCCTCGCCTACTTCCTGCCCGTCATCCTGAACGAGTCCCTCGGGTTCGAGGTCGGCGCCGCCCAGTGCCTCGTCGCCCCTCCCTACGCCTTCGCTGGCTTCGTCATGTTCGGGACCGGCTGGCTCGGCGACAAGTACAAGGTCCGGGGCATCCCCATCCTCATCAACATGGCATTCTGCATCATTGGCCTGCCCATCATGGGATTCCACCCGAACCCCTCCGTCAGATATTTTGGCGTCTTCCTCGTCACCGCTGGTGCCAACTCCAACGTGCCCGCAACCATGTCGTACCAGGCCACCAACATCCGCGGCCAGTGGAAGCGGGCGTTCTGCTCTGCCACGCTGGTCGGGTTCGGCGGACTCGGCGGTATCGCTGGTTCCTTGGTCTTCCGGTAAGTTTTTCTCTTCAGTCTACCCTACCCCTCAGCAAATACGACTCCACGCGACCAACGGCTATCTAATGCTAACTGAGATGCCCGCAGAAACCAGGACAAGCCGTCCTATCACCCGGGCCTGTATGCCTGCATCGCCTGCACCCTGCTCAACTTCATCCTGGTCGGGATCCTCACCGTCTACTTCAAGATCGAGAACCGCCGCGCAGACAGGGGCGAGAAGGAGCTCGAGTCCAACGACGAGGACTTCCAGCCTGGGTTCCGGTACACGTGGTAGACTTGATTTGGGTCACGCGCGAGCGAATAGTTTTTACTGTAAATTGCTCTCGGTGGGAAGTTTGTACGAGCAGCATGTCACTTTACAATCTTGAGGCTCATCTCGCTAGAAGAAGAAGATCCATTATGAAACATGAATTACGAATGCCTTGTACCGATTACCGATTCAGTGCACTTGATGTGAATTTCAAGATGGGGCACCGGGCTTTTCTGCCAAGCCGGAGGGTGTGTGACAAGAGGCAGTTGTGCTCCGACTTGGCGGCTGAGATTGTCTTTCGTGTAGTGTACGTTATCGTGTGTCGTTTCCCGTATTTGCGTCACGGTGCAGCTCTTCTAAGTTGGGGGTGTGAGTGGGTACAGACGTCTACACAACTCGGAACGCTCGGAACTGGCGGTGATGTGGACGCGGCGTCCACATCCACGGTATCCGCTATGTTCGGACAGAAGGGCCAAATCGTACTGCCTTTGTCCAAGACTTTAAAATATTGGAGTTGGCCGGATAGTGCTTGGGAAGGATGCTTTTGGTCCCGTTAGGCGAAAGTATATGCCACCGGAGATTGCTAACCCCCCTGTGAGCACGACTAAAGCACCAAGCACCAGAGTTTTAACTAGCACTTGGCTGTTCTAGTGTATTCTTGATACTGTGTCACTTCACTTCTTCCCCTCGATTTGTAGTCAACACGAGAAGGTGGCCCGTGGAAGGGAGGTCAGTCTCTGCCTCGTGGTCAGGATGTGCAGGGCAGTCACCTCCATGTGCACAGTCAGGATGCTATGCAGCAGCTAATACCAGCATAACTAGTGCTCAAGTCAGGAAACATGACCCTAGTGGCTGTCTCGAAAGGCGCACTCGAACTATTTGTCCCAGATACATACCTGAGTGCATCAATCATCTGATGCAAGGCTGAGAATCAGTTGAGCCTTTCCCACAATGAAAATTATGTCGCCAATCACTAATTAAGGAGAGCACGGCTTGTAAATCTGAATTCCAGTCCGAACTGAGATCATAGTTTCCTGAGTGCTTGAATCCCCAGTCTGACGTGGGTTTGGACCATTCGAAAACAGAGTATGAGATCTGGGATCACGGTATTCGAGAGGTTGGACTTGAAAAAAACAAACCACCCTCCCAGAATGTTCTCGGGGCAGTCTACGGGTTGACTCCCATAGAGTCAATGCGGCCGATAGCCTCTTTGGTGCAGCACGGGTGTCATAATAACATGCTCTGAGATTTATAACGCAGCTCAAACTTGAAGTGTCTGGAGTCAGCTTCGACGAAATAGTTGGCCAGCCTATACAAACTCTGTCACAAATAACGAAATTGATACCGTAGACATTATCGCGGAATAATGATTCATTGTCAACAGCACAGATGAGTCCAGTTTCACTGGATAAATTTCGAGGTTGGAAAGGTAGAACCGGTGGTTGCTAATGTCGAAATCTCATCCAGGAACCTCACACTTGAGTTTGGTAATTCAGATATCGTGCCTGTCTTCTCTGCCAGCGAGGGGCATCTCTCCGGTGCAGAAAAAAGAACGTGAGTCCATCTTTGAGGATGATCTCGTTTTCATCCCGACACGCCTCTATGTACCTCAGCTGTTGCAGTCGTGCGTGTATCGTCTTCGGTTTGCCGCTTCATCAATTTACTTGCCATAAATCCAGGCCAAGGAGTCGAGCTATCTCGCAGCGGTTCATCACATCGGAACTTGAATAGCGCTCAGGGTGCGACTTTGTGTGCCCGTACAGTGTATCTCCTAGCTAATCATGCTCCTTTGAGGCCAGCCATTGATACTCGGTCTTCGTAGTGATTATCATGCTGCAGCCTCATTGTTGGGGTGCTGATTTCATCCATTCGATAGATGAGTAGGTTGCCGTTCTCTAGATCCTGGCTGGTGTTACCTTGGGAGTAAATGGTACCAAGAGAATCTTGGAGTCCTAGAGGTCATTTCTTCCGGAACGGGAGCGAGGGTAGCAGTACAATCTTGTCTAAGGGTCTGACCGGATCAGAGTTGAGGCATGAAGCTCAACATCAGTATAAGCAGTATTTCCCGGAAAGCCACAGCTCTGGCCATTATCACGCAGTGCTGCCGTCGTTCATGCTTGCGCGGACACTTTCTTTCCTAGAAGACGAAGAGTCAGGATTGTTCTTTTTTCACAAAAGAAAAAGATAATATAAAAAATATATGAAAAAAAAAAGGGCCCCAAAGGTTTTACCACAACATCTCAGTGAGTTATTGAGATGGGACAGCTACGTGGAAACGATGGGAGACACTGACATACCATGGCTGCAACTCCGCAACCTTTGCTTCCTCTCCCCATTCAATAAGCCAACCCTCAAGCTTGATGAGTTGCTGGAAGAGGAGCGGTTTTGCACCGCCACGCTCGACCCTTGTATCAATAGCAGAACGTAGATAAGCCTCGGCGAGCTCCTTGTCACCCTCCTCCTTGGCAATGTCAGCCATGTACAGTTCGCAGTTCAGCTTCGCGATCTGGCACTCTCCCTCCGGCATCCGCTGTAAAGTCAACACGAGGAGGGATTTCAGGTAATACTTGGATCCGCCGCGGGCCTCGACCCTCTGCCGCTCCAACTCGGTGAGGAAGAACAGCTCGGCGACGGCTTCAGGCGAGCCCTCGCCGAAGTCTGCTGCTTTTTGCCGGCATATATCCCGCTGCCTCTCGGCGAGGTACGCACCCGGCAGGGCATCATAGCCCGCCGACTCGCCCAGGTCCAGCCACCTAGGGAAGTTCACGGCGCATTCTGGCGCGCCTAGCGCGGTGTCTGTCGTCTCTAACAGACATGTCCAGGCCCGTAAAGCGAGGTTGTGTAGGGTGAGAGCATCTTGGTCGTTTAAAGCAGCCAGACCTTGAAGGACTTTGCGGAGAGGATGATGCTCAGACCAACCCTTGAGAGACTTTGGATCAGTGGCTGGGTTTATCCCTCGGTCACACCAATGAATGGGGAGGGATGGTCGCATACCAAATTTGGCTCAGCGGCTGCGGCTGCGGCGTAGTTCACCAGCGCCTTGATGATCCTCCCAACACGCTCTTTTTGCCCGGGGACGCTCAAGAGGTGGACAGCCATGAGGAATATTCTGTTGAGAATCTGAGGAGGCTCGTAGCGAAGCAGGGCATTTATCTGACCTGGAACTTGTCTCAGGAGAACAACGGCCTCGTCCATCTTCTCGTCCCGGACAAGATCCCTCAGGAGATGCATGGAGTCGGTTACCTGTTTCGAATCCGGGTGGGCGGTGCGGCCCAAAACGAAATCCGCATCTATCATCTGGGCGTACATGTAACCGCGCGTGTGGGTCAGCACGGCTTCGGATATGTAGAAGACATCCGGAGGCCTAATGGACGGCGGCCGTGGCGAAGAGGGCCACCTTGCCTGCGCTGTCGGCTGGGTAGTCTGCACGACGGTCTCTTTCTTACGTCGTAGATGTAGCGCCAGCCGTTGAGAGTCCACTACGCGTCCTGTTGCCAGCACGACAGGGCGTCTTGTCTCGCTCACGGTGCTCATGAGCGACCCGACGTCCTCGGTCGTAGTTCTGATATTCTTAGAATATCCCCACTGCTTGATCCGAACCTTATACATCTTGGACCTGGGCAAGTCAGATAACTGAGGCGGTCATGTGGTATCTAAGCAGCACTTACGACGCTACGAAATTGTAGTCCCTGGCCATTATATCCATGACCTCTTTGAGCGTCTTTCTCTCGTTGATATAGAGACGTTTGATGGTCGGCCTATGCCGGCTCCAATCATTGATGCTAGGGCCACTGCTTCCCTCACCCAGCGACCTCGTCGCGCCAGGCGTGGACGTGGTTGCCATTGCGCCAGGGGTGGCAGAACGCAGTATATCCGGCAAAGCATTAGTGCACCTTCCAAGGCCTCGCTCTATTCCATCGGGTGCTTACAATATTAAGAGCCGTGAGCGAGTTTTAGGTGCATTTTCTGATGAGAACGGATATTCACAGCGCTCAAATCGGAGGATATAGGGGAAATGCTTAGTCAGCAGCCGTCCAGTGGTTGCAGCCAATCAGAGCGCATCTCCCACTGCTAATTTATACGCCTAATTCACATGCCTAGGGCCTCTAGGTGTGTGAATTAGGTGTGTAAATTAGGCGTGCGAATTGGGTGTGCAAATTGGATACGACAGTTGAGCAGTTGAATCAATGCTCTACACACTAATTTGGGTGGTGGGCGTTATTGGTGCACCGGGGGCAACATGTACCCCCAGTATACCCCCCGATTTGAGCCCTGCGAATTTCCGCTCTCTTTCTGATACGTTTGGGAGTGAACTCATCTGCCATTGCTACGGTAATGCTTCTAGATTGGGGTATACGAGTTACTGCCCTTGGCTCACTTGCTTTGAGTTTATTCGGAACTTTCTTCGTCACTCTGATAGTTATACCTCTAATAGCCGCCTACGTGCATGGTCTCGTGGGGATTTAAGACTCCACGACCATTCGGTCCAGGGATAGATTACCTGGGTACATAACATTCCTAACCCAGTTTTCAACACTCCACGGCCGAGTTATGGTCCCCAAGCATCGACCTGCCAGGATGCTTTGCCCACCGCCAGCACAAGACACAACCAAACCCAGGGCCGTAGAGTCCAGGGGCCAGGGGACTAAATTTGCCTCTGAATAACTTCATAAAACTAAGGGCTCGTTCATTTCCTGGACTAGGGAGTTCCATGCACGACAAATATGTGCGTATGCAGAGGCATCCATTGTGGCTGCGTGTTCAACAGGCATTACGTTGCTTACGGTCAGATGGAAATGTAACGCGACAGAATTAAAAAAAAAAAAAAAAAAAAAACGAACAAAGATGCCGTGATTGCAATTTTGTGGATATCAATCTGTTCTCCCGACCTCGGTCTCCGTTTTTTTTTTTTTTTGGTTTCTTTTCAATGTGAATACCAATTTTCCATAATATCAGCTCCCACGACCAAGAGATTCGTTTCACGTGCCACATGTCTCAGTCCTTCGTCAACTCTTTACCAGCCTCCGTTGGGGCACTTAGAAGCACCATTAGGAGCCCAACCGCAGCATGAGCCGTCACCTCCACCGGGACCAACACACTGTAATGACCCATGTCAGTAGTTTGAATTGCTAGTGGAGAGGAAACCATGTGACTCACCGAACCAATATCGCAAGGGTAGTTGATCAAGCCCCATCGGCAAGAAGATCCATTGCACGACTTCATTTTCGAGTTAGCAATGAAAAAGCCAGGTGTAAAACCAGGAGCGACTCACTCCAGTGGAGCTGAAATCAGAAGGACAGTTCTTCCGCTTGAAAATCCGGCTAGGGTGCGTCTCCTCAGGAGAAGTGGGTGCGGCAATGGCAGCAGAGAATGCCGCAGCGAAGGCGAAGAGTGACACGATCGTCTTGTCGATGATAGTTGATACTCGAACAAGAATGGCGGCACCGGGACTCCGAGAATACTGGGGACTCAGAGCTGAGAATTCGAACCAACAGTGCCTTGTATTACTCAAAAGAGCCGGCTGAAGGAAGCAAAGGAGTGGATGTATCGTGTTCAGGACCCAGTCAGTTGGACTCATCTCGAGCCAACGGCATCTTGTCTTACTCTAAACAGCGGACGGAACCACAGGAGTGGATACACGGTGTTCAGGACCCGCCACTTGGGGGTGTCAGACAATAGAACTTGCCACCCTGTCTGCGATTCAGATGATGCCGTTCTGCGTCCGCTGGTGCATGTGCTTGCGTTGGAGCGGCGGCGGCTGACGGCATGCCTCTGAAGATCTCCGACAACGACCGGCGGATGTCGGCAGTATTAGACTAGCATGTAGTCAGCTTGGAGGAAGTCGGTCATCAGCCGTGTTCGGAAACCGCACCGTCCTCTCCCCACCGGTCTGGAGACTGCACGTAGAACACCATGCGCTCTCACTCAGCAGCAACAGCTGGTAAGTCTGGTGCTCTAAAACCACAACAACTAATAATGACGCCAGCCGTATGTTGGTCTCACAACTCTTCATGCGAGGAGTATCCCACCGAGAGCCACAGCTAGTCCAATGTCAGCGCAGCACAGCGATTCCTCAGCTGACTGGGCCTTCAGTGTACTTGACTCGGCCGAGATATACGAAGGATCAATGTGACCCTCAGAAGAACCCGGTATTCTTCACCAGCCTCGCCCGTGTTAGTGTTTTGCAGAACCCCAGTATTTTATGCATGTTGGTTGTTGGCCTGGTTCGTGCGCCTGGCTCGTCGGCCTGAGCTTGCGATCGTTGGCACCTGCTCATGGTGAATCAATTCTCTGGCATGTTGTCGTCCAATTCAACCCGTAGATACAGACCCGGAGGCGGAAAGTTGATGAGCAGATGAAGGGCGTTGAAGCCAGCTGAGCCCCTGCGCTAGTTAGAGCCACCCTCATTGACGCTGGTCGCTGAGTGGCACTAGCACTTGCCCCTGGAACCCTGCATCGGCCCGTACCTTGACTGAGGTGAGGACTTGAAAAGAGAGGGCGACACACGTTCCAGAACGGGCGACCGAGATGGAGAAGCCCAGGTTTGTCTCCCACAATCTCATCATCGCAACCCTGCCATGACATCGCAGGTTTGTTTGTCGTGATCTCGAGTGCCGTCGAGCTAGCTCCGATGCATCTGTCAGGCGTCCTATCCATAAAGACAGAGACATTTCCACACGGCTGCCTCAGTCTCTCTGCTCTCGTCGCTGTGCCTATCTGTCATTGTTCAGCAAGCATTGGCCTCGCTCGAAGAACAGGACCAGGATCCGAGGATATCTCCTCCGTGCTTGCCTCAAAGAAGCAGGCTAGTGCTCCAGCTTCGAGTGAGGAACCCCTTCAAACAGGTGCAATAATCGTTCTGAGAAGGATTCGGACTGCGAAGAAGCGTGCCTCTGAGGGTGTTGCCAACATGTTCTACTGATATCGGACTGCTTGCTCAATTCGACCAATCCGAGTGACTCGGACCTCGGAAACTGTGATGCGAATTTTGACTCGCCGAAGCGGCCTGAAACTGACAGCGGTAAGTCCGGAGGCAACGGATTTATGTCATGCAGTATGTGAGCAATTAGACTCGGAGTTGAAACCGTGAAGCACCGGCGGAAGCGCCAGCAAGGGAGACCAGAGAGAGCCTCCAATCCATGCCACATCCTGACCTTCCACGCCGATTCGACGGCGACCCTGCCCCTGGCTTACGCCTTTGATTTGGAAATATGGAATATAAGCTCTTATCGTCTGTTAAGCCCTCAACGGTCTCCAATCACATCGGAAGTATCAGAGCTGTGATCGTCCTGATCCAGAACGTTATGCTTTCGCCTACCTTCCGCTCACAGGCTTGCGATTCGAGCAAACCTAAAACTCCGTACGATGATGCCCCAGGGGTCGCATGGATTCCACCCTGATACCTCACAACGAACAGGCAGGGGCGGTAGCCTCGCGAAGAACGTGTTAAGCGATGGGTTCACCCTCACAACCGGGTTCCTGGTGCCCGGGGTTGATGTGAGAGCTACTGAGGCCCGCAGGGGTATCTGACGGGCTAGAGTATAAGTCAAAGCTTCAGCCGAAGATCTGGCATGTGTGCTGATCAGACACAACAACTCACACTCTTCCTCTCTTGGTACCTGCCGAGGCCACAGATCTCGCCAGTCGTCTGTCCTTTACTGTTTGCTCTACTGTCGCCGAGATGGCCTCACCCGCCGAAGAGAAGACTGGCCTGTACGCCAACACCACAGCCATCAAGCAGAACATGACTTCTGGTGGCAATCTTGCATTTCACAACTTTAACAACGATTTCGCCCACATCTCCAATGCCAACGAGCGACGCAGGCTGGCCCTGGCGGAGATTGATAAAGCCCCCTTTGGCTGGTACCATGTCCGGGCCATTGCTGTAGCAGGAGTAAGTGGTGGTGGTGATCATGACAATTCTGGAGACGAGGAGCGAATAGCTGACCAGTAGCGACACACAGATTGGGTTCTTCACCGACAGCTACGACATCTTCGCTATAGGCCTGGTCACCTCTCTTCTCGGAATAGTCTTTTTCGGGGGCAAGATTCCAGATGCCGACGACACAGCTATCAAGGTTGCCACCTCTGCCGGGACCGTTGCTGGCCAGGTGGGCTTTGGCATACTTGCTGATGTCGTGGGGAGGAAGAAGATGTACGGCCTGGAGCTCATGATCATCATCTTCTCCACGCTCGCCCAGAGCCTGTCGTCCGGCTCGCCCGCCATGTCAATTGTCGGGCTGATTGTGTTCTGGAGGGTGCTGATGGGTGTCGGAATCGGTGGGGACTACCCGCTGTCGGCCATAATCACGTCTGAGTTCGCGACCACCAGATGGCGCGGATTCATGATGAATGCTGTGTTTGCAATGCAGGGCTTTGGCCAGCTGGGTGCTGGCATAGTTCTTCTCACTGTTACTCAAGGGTTCAAGAACTCTCTCGAGCTGTCTGAGACCGTCACCGACTGCTCCAAGAAGGGAGCCTGCGTCAGTGCTGTCGATAAGATGTGGCGGATAATCGTCGGGTATGACTTTCCTTGGATGGATGACTCCCAGCACGGCTCACGCAAAAGAAAGCCCAAGCCCCAGGGACGCTGCAGAATACGAGTATGTGCAAATCACTGACATAAAGACTGGAGCAGATTTGGAGCGGTACCGGGGTGCTTCGCGCTTTACTTCCGCCTGACGATTCCAGAGACGCCTCGCTATACCTTCGATGTCGAGCGGGACGTCCAAAAGGCTGTGGAAGATGTCACCACGTACCGCCAGGGCAAGTGGGGCGAAGGTGAGGTGGACGAGCTTGCGCGGGCCCAAGCCAAGCAGTCGGCGAAGGTGGACCTTGATGTGCCCAGGGCGTCGTGGTCCGACTTTATTTCGCATTATCGGGAGTGGCGGCATCTGAAGGTGTTGCTCGGATGCGCCCTGTCGTGGTTCTTCCTGGTAAGTAGCACTCTGTTGGTTGCTGCCGAGGGAGATGTCTCGTGGAGACAGGCACATTCCGAAACGAATACTGACATGTACTGCAGGACATTGCCTTTTATGGTCTTGGTCTCAACAACACCATCATCCTGAGCACCATCGGCTTCACCGGAGGCAGCAATGTGTACCAGATCTACTACCGGACAGCCATCGGCAACCTGATTCTTGTTCTGGCCGGTGCGGTGCCGGGCTACTGGGTGTCTGCTGTGTTGATCGACACGGTCGGGCGCAAGCCTATCCAGCTGTTCGGCTTCTTCATGCTGACGGTGCTGTTCTGCGTCATCGGCTTCGGGTTCTGGACGCTGTCGGGCGGCGCCTTCATGGCGCTGTTCACGCTGAGCCAGTTCTTCTTCAACGCGGGGCCCAACTCGACGACCTTCATCATCCCCGGCGAGGTGTTCCCGACGCGGTACCGGTCGACGTCCCACGGCATCTCGGCAGCGTCTGGAAAGCTGGGCGCAATCATCGCACAGGTTGTCTTTGGGCCTCTGAGGAGCATCGGTGCGGATGCCGCCAAGGCCAAGACAGACCCACGCTGGGCTGCGCCTTTCATTGCCCACATCATGCAGATATTCGCCGCCTTCATGGCATTGGGCTTCTGCACGTCCTGGCTGGTGCCCGAGCCGGCGAGGAAGACGCTCGAGGAGCTTGCAGGAGAGGACGGGAGCGTTGTCAGTGTAGTCGACACCGTCTCAGCGGGCGACAAGGGCTTCGGTCAAGGCAGAGCAAGCCGCGCCTCGAATGGCAGCTAGTGTCCCTCTCATGTCACCAGTGTGCAACACTCCAGGCTACCTATTTTGAACCTCTTCTGCTGTGCAGAGAAAATAGACCATGAGTATGTTGTACAGTAGAAAGTTCTGGTATCTATCTATTACTAGTAGTAGATTAGCAATTCGCAAGATGAATGTGGAGGAGAAACAGCACCCAGCCAATGTCTGTCCAGGGCGCGGTCCCACTCAGTCTGGGGGATCCCTGCTCCCGCACAGCTAGCTCCATCTGACAGGACTGACGTAGCGGTGGTCAGGGGCTGAGGCTGAGCTCCAGAGAACCCCTCTGTTGTGTGTAGATCCAGAGCGCACCCTCCCCACCAGACACAGGATGGTAAACCGCAATCCGTCCATCGTCCAAACTCCCAATCTTCTGATCTGATGTCGTGAACTCCCAAGTTGCATCTCGCAACTGCAACCCCCCTCCCCCTTCAACGGGAAGCGCATCGCCGACAGACCGACCGACCCAGGCACGATGGCCTCATTTCTCCGTGGAAAGCAGGCGGGCATGCAGAAGGACCTGTCCGCCGCCATCCTCCCGCACCTCTTCATCCCGGACGAGCAGGCCCGCTTCGGCATCAACTCGCAGATCAGGTAGGCTGTTCAGGTTTAACGGGCGGGTGGTGGTGGTGGTATCAGACGGCTAGGCTAACTCGTGCGCACAGCTGCCTCGCATACGACCCCGTCCAGTCCCTCCTAGCCGTCGGCACCAACGAGTCCAAGTTCGGCAACGGCCAGATATACGTCTTTGGACAGAGCAGAATACAAAAGTACTTCCAGCACAACAAGCCCGGCTCCATCCGGAGCCTCCACTTCTCCGCCAACAGGCTCATCAGCCTCAACACCAGGGGCGAGCTGACGATATGGGACCTGGACACGGCCAGAAGAATCGCTGGTGGGCCATGTGGCAGCGGCGTTGTCAGCGTCGTCACAGATCCCATGCTGGACTGGGCCCTCATCGGCCAGTCCAGCGGCGAAGTGTCCGCCTACGACCTGGACCGCGAGAGGCTGTCCCCCTTCCGCACTCCCAACTTCTGGCGAGAGAAGGACCCCAAGTCCACCATGGCCCACCTCGTCTCCATCCAGCTACACCCTCGCGACATTGGCAAGTTGCTGGTAGCCTACACACACGGCGCTGTCATCTACTCGTTCAAACAGAACCAGGCCACCAAGTTCTTCGAGTACGTCTTGCCACCAGGGGCTCCAGGCGGCAACTCGGAGAACGTCGACTCCTTGCGCAGGCCGAGGTTGCTACATGCTGCCTGGCACCCTACCGGCACTTTCATCCTGACAGCTCACGATGACGGGAGTCTTGTGTTCTGGGACCCCAAGGATGGCCGGGTCGTCATGGCGAGGTCCCTGTACGAGACTAGTGTCGACCAGGTGACTTCGAGTCCTCCGCCTCCGAGACTCATCCAGCCATTCACCAAGATCTCATGGTGCTGCAAAGAGAATCCAGACGATACTGCTCTCCTCATCGCCGGGGGACAGGCGGCAGATGAGCCACAAAAAGGTCTGACTTTCTTGGAGCTGGGTCAGACCCCGGTCTACGCAACCTCGTCCTGGCAGGCACTGGGGGATCACTTCAAGGCCAAGCGCCAACAACTCCTACCCATTCCACCAGGCACCGACGTGACCAACTACTGCTTGCTCCCACGGTCAACACCTCACTTCTCCGGGGCTCAGGACCCGATCGCGATCCTGGCCACGCTGTCCTCGGGCGAGCTGATCACCATGAGCTTCCCCTCCGGGTACCCAATCAGCCCCACCAACCAACTTCACCCTTCGCTGTCATTCGTGCATCCCTTCGTTACCAAGGTTGTAGTCTCGACTCTAGACCGCGGTCGATGGCTGGGGATGATGGAGAAGCGCAGTAAAGGAGAGGATCTGCTCAAGGGGGGGGCGGAGGCCCCCAAGCCACGAAGGCGATATGAGGGCAGAAACATCATCCAGGTGGCCCATGCCGACAGCACCATTCGCCTCTGGGACCTCGGGCATGCTGATGAGATGGAAAACCCCACACAGTTGCAGGTCGATCTCTCCAGGGCTCTCGATCGATTTGAAAACGTCGACGTGTCTGCCATGCACCTGGCAGCAAACAGTGGTGATTTCGCTGCCGGTACTACCAGCGGCGACGTTGTCATCTACCGTTGGGGCGGAAATCATAGCTACGGCCAGGAAGATAACAAGCAGCTCGAAAGCAACCCCGGTGGCCTGGTTGACATCAGCTCAAGAACCGAGCCTTCGTTGAAGGAAGGTCTTCAGCCTTTCGTCTTGTATGAGACTGCGCAAGGGCCTATCACTGCTCTTTGCGTTTCTGACGTTGGTTTCGTAGCTGTAGGGTCTGAGGGTGGCGGTGTTAGCATCATCGACCTGCGTGGTCCCACCGTGATTTTCAAGGGGTCCATGGGAGAGTTGGCGCAGAAGGAGAAGAGGTCGTCATTCCTCAGAGGACACTCGAGCGCCACTGCGACAAAGGACTACCCGGTCGTCATTGAGTTCGGAATCATGACGCTCGACGATGACAACTACTCCAGCATCGCATGTTTTGTGGGTACCGCTCAGGGTAAAGTGGCCACGTTCAAGCTGCTGCCCTCTGGCAACAGTTACTCAGCCAAACTGGCCGGTGTTGCAAATCTGGGCGACAAGGTCATCGCTATCTGCCCGATTCAGGCGGACACTGGCCGGCCCGCCGCAGCTACTCCAGAGGTCATGGGTGGCCTTAGGAACGGCCAGCATGTTAATGGCGTCCTGGTCGTCGGTAAGTCTTCTGCCTTCCCCTCCCACTTCCCTCCGAACTGAACACTGGCTAACACGCCCCAGCGACTCAAAATGAGGCCCGCATTTTCAAGCCTGCTAGTTCCAAAGGTGCCTCGAAGTCCTTTGACGATGTTCTCTGCGACGCAGCCGCTGTCACCGAGTTCGAGCTACACGGTTTCGCATTGGTAGCGACCTTCGGCGACGGGAGCGCTCGCGCGTTCTCTCTCCCAGGCTTGAAAGAGTTCGCCAAGGCCCCGCTCCCCACGCTCGACCCCACCAGGAGCACTAGCAATATCGTCGCCTCGACCGGAGACATTATCGGGTGGGCTGGGCCTTCCGAGCTTGTCATCATTCCCGTATGGGGCACTGGCAAGGGCAAGGGCGCTCTGAACAATGACGACAAGCTCATCAACCCTGAGGCCATGATACCGCCGCGGCCAACGATTTCCAACGTGCAGTGGTTGTCCGGGACGCAATACGTATCACCCACAGACCTCGACCTGCTGATTGGTGGGCCCGACAGGCCGGCCTCGAAACGGATGATCGCGGCGGCGGAGGAGGAGGCGAGGCTGGCCAGGGGAGGCCCCGGTGCTAGCTCATCTGGGGCTGGAGCAGCGAGTCAAGAAGGATGGGGGGAGTACCTGCAGCGACAGCTCAACGAAAGAACGGAGAAACTGAATATGATGGGCGACAACATGGAGAGCCTCAACGATCAGAGCCAGGGCTGGGCTGATGATGTGAACAAATTCATTGGAAAGCAGAAGAGGAACGTGGTCATGGGAGGCCTGAAGTCCAAATTTTTCTGATCCCGGCGCTCAGGCTTATTTATTTGACGGCACGGCTTAGAGATATCCAGGTCTAATTTCTATTCTACCATTTGGCTATTTGACGCTTGCGCCATGAAGAAGCGATCCCTTGTTCACGAATCATCCTGTGTTTCGGTCCTGTAGAAACTCTCAGCCTTGCGTGATGAATAATACCACACAACCGGGCTCAACATGATTGCTATTCAAACACATGTGGTACAACAAAGTGCCATTATCACCGGGTCCGCCGTTGGACTGCTCGGGCTGATGTTGTGGTACTTCATGTGCTCGACGGCCCAGACCAGGCTGGCCAAGCAGATTGCTTGGACCCCTACCCAAACGCTGAGCCAGTATAGGATATCCCCGTCGGACATTGACTTTGCCATTGTCTCTCGTTTACGCTGTCACTTCCTTTCCGTTGACTCTTGAGCTGATAATCCTTTGAATATTGGGCATCTGAGATGTGTTGTGTTTATTTGAGTACGGGGCGTGAAGCAGTCTCAATCAAGGGCCCAGGAATAATGGGTTGAACTTCTGCTTTTATGTGTTCTCCAGCCGTGGGTGACCGCTCATTTCCAGCTATTTGCCACACATTGCGAGTCACGAGACTTGGACGAGAGTCGTTCCATGTGCTGTGATTCAGTATTCTGTGCAGCGTCACTGCTTCCTAGCCGGCGCGGGATTAGGGCTCACCGGCCTTGCCCTCTGCTGCCTATTTCGAGGGAAGTGCACATGAACCATTAATCACGTGGCTAATTGTGACTGAAACTCGATGGTCCTGACGCGCATGCTTTGAGTAGTGGCTTGGTACGAGATTGAGCACACTAATCCACGCTAATGAGAGAAATGACAGGATCAATCGAGCGATTGGATCGCAACAGTTGAATTACACTGTGCTTTTATAGACATTATACATCCTCGTGGTTGCTGTGGCGACTCGAATTCCAGACGACTCCGTTCAAAAGAATTACATCAACAGCATACCATAAATCACTCTTCTGACTCCTCTTCAGAGGCCGCGTCCAACTTTCCTTCTAGCTCCTCAGCAAGTGTCAAAGGGCCCGAACGAGTTCCCATCCTTTGACTAGTCACCGTTCCAGTCGCCGTCCCCGGAGGGAGCTCCGGCCCACCACTGCGGGTCCGGGCAGACTCGGCGGCCGAAACCACCGGAGCGCTGCTACTCCCCGAGCTCTCTGGCGCGGGTCCGCCAGGATGTGCGGGCTTCTTGAGGGGCCTGTGGAGGTCTTCCCATATCCTCTCGAAAACCTCAGGGTCCGGACCCTCACGTAGAGTTTTGTTTTGAAGCCTCAGGTCTCGAATCATTGTGTCTTGGTGAGAAGATAACGCTTCAAGCGATTCCACAAGCTCACTTGTCTGCTGCACCTGCGCTTCTAAATCTGAAATTTTCAGGACCATCAACTCATGGTCAGAGGCCTGGGCGGCTGCGTACTCCCTCCACTCTCTCGTCCCGAATGGGTATGGATTGGGCGGTGCCTGGCTCACGAGACGGTTGGAAATCCAGCGGTTGAGGAACCTCAAGAGGGAGGCCAAGACGGTTGTCATTGACTCCCATATGGAAGAGAGCATTGTAGTGTTGAATATTCTGGAGAGATGGGCCTGACTCTTTTCCAGAAAGCGTCTAGGGCGGAATTATAACCGCAATGCTGGATCTGTTTCGGGTCTGCTTCTTGGACGGGCACGGCTGATCTAGAGCCTCAGATGTAATAACGGCTTTTATGCAGATCACCATCTTGAAAATAGAACTCCTCAACAATGCAACGGTAGGACAATAGCCTTGTTGTGATGCCCCTGAGCGCAACAAAGAGCGATGAGCCACGTTGCGCTGTGAACAAAGACGGCAGGTGCCGATCCTCGGCCCAGAATGTGCAGCTTTGTAGGTCCTCGCCGCCACAAATAGACCTGTTGTGTAGATGTGAATGGGGAGCCGTGATAGAAGTGATCATCAGCTGCGAGCACAATGGTTACGGGGTGAATGCGTATCCTCGGAATAGAGGGTGCCAGCAGACAGCTTGGCATGGGCCGTCCCAAGCCAGAGTGGGGCAAAAACCATGTTATACGATTGGCCAAATCCGTCAAGTTGTTGTCGACACGCACTTTTGCCCCCTTGAGGCTTGAAACCACCTTCTCAATCGTGCACAGGCACGACCAATCAGTCATCTCACTTGAGATATATGCATGTCAATGTACGAGGTCTGCATTGGGTCCTGCGGATACGGATTTGAAAGTCAGAGCAGTTTTGTGGCGACATGCAGTCATGGACGTCTTCATTTACTTTGCTCGCAACGTCGAAATCTATCGACGTCTCCTGTCGCCTGCCAGCGAGGCAACAAATCCCACTGCAGCATTTTTAGCCGAGTGCTGGGCCCAAGTCAGAGGAATCCGCATGCCAGTACTCCCATGTGGCTGTCTCGGAAGTTCAAGCTCAAGTATGCGGCCAATTCGATATTGCTATGACAGGGGGGGGGGGGCTTGGATGGTGTGGACACCTGCGAGGTCGCATAAGCGGAATAGCTGAGTCTTGAGAAGCGGCGCTTTCTGCAGGTTAGATTGTGGCACCGGTGAAGTCTCCCAACGAAGCGCGGCCGCATGCCGGGCGGCCAGCCATCCCCATCTCCCCTGCAGCTCCTCAAAACCCGCAACTCTCGCTCAAGCCACCTCATCGGTGAGCTCCGGTGCCTCGTCAGAAACTGGGCAACCTCATAGCCTCTGTCGAAGGGCACAGCTGGTGCTTCCGTTCAGGTCTTCGTCCTTTGAATTCGCCCTGCTCCATCGGACACGCGAATAGATGCACCAATTTGAACCGGCCCCGGCCATGAGCATTTTCTGCGAATCGCAGTGTGTACACCGGTAGGCGCCCCCGCCCCCAAGCGTGAGTCCTCAGCTTTGGCGGAGATTGTGTTTCCTAAAGACCACCGCACACAGGCAACTCTTAGGCTGTCAGCCAAGTTTAGAATGCGTATATCTGACAGTGTCATGAACGCGCCAGCATCGTGACGCCATTGAAGCACACCTCCAACGTGCCAAGCCCAGTGCCTTCATGTAGGCCTTGATTGCCCAGTGGGATGGTCGAGCCGAGCCTTCTTTTATAAAGGATGGGACGCCTTGCAAAGTCCAGCTTGTGTCCGGGGCAATCAGATGAGAAACCAAGCACAGCCCTTTTTTCAGTAGAGAATTCTACGCCTGAGCCAACAGCAGGTCATCATGTCCGAGACTCGTTCCTCCTCACTCGACGTCAACCTCAGTGCGTGTGACGGGTATGCCGCTCTAAGTGTATTATGGGAGTCAAATGGTTCTAATATCATTTCAGCTCCCAACGCCGAACAGATTTGACGTCGGAAGAGCTACAGCAGCTTCAAGATGAACGTTTGAGGATGCACACAGCCGACAGCAGCAGTAGTCTCATAGAGCGCCTCTGGAATCGAGCGAATGGCCAGGGTCGAGCTCATGCTCCTGCTCAGGGTGGCAATGAACAGAGAAGTTCTCGTCCAAATGCATGAGACAGAGGATAGCGCGTTGGACCTCGGGTTTGGTGATACGGTGGCTGACGATACTCGAACAACGGCTGGTCACATCCTACCTAACGCTCTGTCCACCCCTGTATCAATGAACCTTGTTGTACTCCCACATGAGTATATCTCGCAGACTTGGTTCAGATCACTGTTCGTGTCGCACATGCCTTAGTCATCGCATATCTATGCCGTTTCCCCCACAATCCTGCCCGGGAATCCTTCAACGAGGTCAGCCACTCCATCATGTTTGGCCGAATAATTTCTCGCCCGGAGCTGCCGTTCTATGGCGGCGAATGCCGATGGGATATTGGGCAACAAGGGTTGGACTCATTTGGCTTGAGATGTTGTGGAATGGTACACAGCTTACGCGCTGCATCGAACTTCAGCTGCCACCGAGTTCGGCCCCTGAGTTCCCGCTGGCACCCATCCCACACCCCCGAGGTGGACATGGGAGACACAAACTTCACTGACATAGAAAATCACCTCTCCCGGACCTGGCCGGGCTTCTCATTCATGACTCGCTTGTCTTCCTTACGTGATTATCTTGTTCGTGGTAGGTAGATGTCGCGGTTGTCCTCCCCATGTGGAGACTTCGCGGCCCATGCCTATTGTTCTGTGATACCTTCGAACATGTCGCACATGCCTTGTTGAATCTCAATCTTGAGCAATTTGGTTGTCATATGGTCGCCGAGGAATCACGAGCTCGAGATCTGGAGGAATTATTGGGAACCAAGAGAAAAGATGCCCCCACACACCATAATTGCCGCCCACAGGTGCTGATCTGCGGGATCGACCCCTTTCTTGTGGTGATGGGATCACGACTGGCCCCCACGACAGCCATGGATCAAGAAGGCGGTCCGCAAGATTTGCCACGCGCTGGACGATACATTGGCACACAGGGGGCCTCATAGCCTGCTTTGATGGCCTCCCGCCCAGTTTCAGCCCTACAAGCCTGTCATCGGGTGGCGTGCATGTGCAGCATGTCTTGATAGCCGAGAAGCTGTGCGAGACAAGTCCCTGATTCGTTCGGGCTTCAAAATCATGCTGCGAGTTGGCGCCACAACCAAGTGTTGCCCGCGCCAGCACTCCTGGCCTCTGCTTCCGGGTATTACGTTGCACAGCATCTACGTGGAGGTCGTCGCCCAAGGGGGTGTCCATGTGTCGGATTACGGCCAATCTTGTCCTAGACCTGAAAAGGTTGACAGGCAACGGCGTGACTTGGGTCCCATCCCACGGTGGCATGCCTGCCGCCCACTTAGCAAGAGGAACACGACACCACAGAAGCATCGGACCCCCTGGACCCGATAAAATCCCGCCGACATCAGCAGAGTCGATATGGTGCGGTTCGCGGCCCATGACAGCAAAAGGAGAAGAGATAATTCACATCTCAGAAGCCAGCTTCTCCTATGTCTGCGATCAGCACTACATGACTTCTCACTACCTCTCCATATTGCCGATCCTCCAAGGAAAAAAGCCTCGCGGACCGGGCCGTCCAGACATAGGGATGGTGCCGAAGGCCGATGAGGTCCTATCAAGGCATCAAGAAAGCCTGGGCAGAATAAGCTGTATTCCACACAACCTGTCCCGGGGTGAACTGGCCAGTAAGCCGGGTCAGGGGCCGCGCGGGCGACGCCGAATTCGAACCCGGAAGAAAATCCACGATGCTCTCGTGTGAGCTTTTGCTTATCCGATGACTTGGGAATAGAACGATATCACATTTAACCACCAACCCTCGATCTTGAAACAGGGGGGCTGGGCTAGGCAACATTTCACTGGTCACCCAAACACATCTCCAGGATCTCCAGCACCTGCTCCTTCCTCTCCAGAGGGATCGCGTTGAACTGGCAGCAGGGGTCCTTAAGGCTGCTCTCGGCGACGGCCTCGAGTTTGTCCCTCCCTATGCCGTACTCCCGCAGGGTTCTTGGGAAGCCCAGCTCACGGATCACCGCGTCCAGGGCGTCGCCCAGGTCAGCCTGCCCCCTCACAAGCGAGTGCTTGGTGAGCGCGGCTGCGACGTCTGGGTCGTGCCAGAAGGCGTCTACCACGAGGGTCTGCTGCTGCGCGTTGATCTTTGCGTTGAACTTCTGCACGGCGGGGAGACATATGCACGTCGTTTCGGCGTGGGGGACGCCCATGGGGCCGAGCTGGTGCCCGATCCCGTGCGAGCCGCCTTTTGTCTTCCATCAGCTCACTCGTCCGGGATGGCGACGGGGATCTTGTACGAGAGCAGGACTTTTCTGCCAGGTCTGTGAGCCTGGAAGTAGTCTGACGTACCGACTTTGACTCCATAGAGGTTCGCCGCGCGCATACTCTCTGCCGCACCCAGCTGGCATCTCAACCGAGCGTCAAGGTCGTTCGGCTCCTGCTTTGTCCTCAGCAGGCCTGGGAGTAGCAGCTTGAGTCCCCTGAGCGAATGCCTTGTACCATCAGGGTTGGGATTCGAGCTGCAAATTGTCTCTACGCAGTGGTCCACGGCCCTCAGACCGGTGGAAAGCCACACTTTCTGCGGAGTTGTCCGTGTGAGGGCAGCGTCCCTGAAACCATGTTAGCGAGTGTTGCTGTGGTCTCGAGTATATCTCAATTGGTCCGAGAATACCCACATAACAATGACAGATATGCCTACCCTTCCCGGGTTCTGGAAAATCTGCTTGTGATGCGTGGCATCGTTGGTTGCGCCACCCGGTGGGTTGAACTCGCCGGCGCTGAGGGTCGTAGTGACGGACACGACAGGAACGACAGAATTATGGACTGTCTTCGGAGCATTTTCAGGCATGGGTTTGTTGTACCTGAGTGCAAGGCTGGTCCGGAAGAGGAGGTCCATTTCATCAATGTTGTTGACGCCGTTCGCCAGAGCCTGGGGCTGGTGAGACCAGGACTCACTGTGGTCACGGGCGACTTACAAAAGAGACGGCCTTGGCCCCATCGATGAGACTTCCGCCTCCAACGGTGACGATGGCGTCTGCCCCCGAGTCTTTCACCTCGTGCAATACATGCAGGACTTCGGAGTAGTACGTGTGCGGTCGCATGCCGATATGAGTCCCGACGACCCTGACATTACCGCTGTTCAGAGACGAATTAAGCCTCTCGACGACGTCTGTCGTCTTGCTGAGCGACTCAGATATCACCAGGAACGGCTTGAGGCTGTTGAGAGTCGTGGCCAGGTGCTTTGCGCAGGCTTCCGGATAAGGCAGCCCATGAGTGATGATCGGGAACTCCTTGTCAGGGTCGAAGCGTTCTGTGCTCTCAGCTGCCATCTTGATTCAGTCAGTCTGAATCTGTTCCGACACGTTTGCAACAACAAAGCACAAGATGAGTCGAGGTTGGATAAGCAGGACAACTACCGAGACCGAGAGCTATGGGGCGGGGTCGAAACTAGACAATTACATGCTGACACATTCCCTGTAATGTTCCCCTTCGTCACATTTACTAGTCCATGAAACCTAGACATAACATATCGTCCAATTGCAGGTACGAGCTGCAGCATTTCTCCGAGACTGTATCACTCGTTCTCATTAAGATGCCCAAGCATGCTACGACCTATAGGAACAGGAGCGAGGATGCTCAGAGAGCCTCAGGCAGTACTGATCATTGTACACTGGTTTACAGCCCAAATTTTGAGCGAGGCAGGGCAACATAATTCAGAGCGGCAGAGAAGACACTCTGACCCCTGGTGCACAGGTCATTAATCTATTGACTCAGAAGCTGCGGCACGCGTTCTGAACACACCCCCTTGACTTGGTCATCACAACACGCACACTGTGCTTTTGTACTCAGTCGTTGTTTCCACAGTCACCAATGCTAGAGGCCGGATCCCGCGAAACGCCGCTCATACAGTAGACAATGGCTCATAATGCTGCAGCTAGTTCATTGCATTTGGCGGTAGGCTCGACGGCGGTCAGTGTAATCGGCCTGTCAAAATAATCAAGTCAGCCGAAGCCCACACGTTGTTTTCCCTCCGAGATTCGGGAACTCACGTTATTGCCCCACCAAGCTGGCATCGTCACACCTGGCAAATCGATAGCGAACATGATGATGGTGGCGCAGACCTGCGTTCCGCGGTCGAGACCAGTCCCCAGCAGGTAGTTGTACTTCCGGAACCACACAGGGTGCACCCGAAGGATGTAGCCCATAAACACCAGAGAAAGCAGAGCAGATGTCATGAGGTTCGTGGTCTCATAGACAGGGAAGATGGTGCCGCCGTAGAGAATCATTGCCATGTTGCAGCGTGTCTCGATACTCCAGCCGGGCTTGTACTTGTGAACGACATAGGTGATGGTCACCAGAGCAGGGCCGATGAGGAAGGAGTAGTAGATCCAACTGTAAGGGGAGCCTTTATCGAAGAGCACCTTGGGGCCCAGGACACCCCAGAGCACTGAGAGAGGGTAGCAGCTCTTCGTCTTCAGGGCGAGCCATGCGTTCGAGTCCATCTTCCCAGTGAGGGTCTCCTTGCCAACTGGGGTTTTGTCAGCGACTCCTTCCTACTTCAGCCTCCAAAAGCATTACATCTTCAAAGGATTGCTTACTACGATCTGTCACAAGACGCATGATACCGTAGTTGACGAATGGTCCAAGAAGAGTTCCATAGACTTGGCCCCAGAACATCTCCTTCTCTGGGATCTTCATGTAAAACCCAAACTTGTAGTCGGAAGTTAGATTCAAATTCTGCTCCAGGATCTGGCGTCCATGCGTCATGCACGTGAGGACAGCCGTCGGGTTCCCCGGGAACATGGCGCCAGCCATGAGCTCTGAGAGAAAGGCCATGCCGACCTGAACATTGGCAACACCCCAGAGAATACCGTTCGGAAAAGTGCAAATGACCGAGACGAGCGTGATGACGACGAATCCCCACCATGGCAGACCCATATCCGCACCGTAGATACAACCTAGGGACAAGGCCAGGCAGGGGACCAAGAGCGCAATGTACCATCAGTGAGGCACCCGCTCGGTACGGCTCATGAGCTTCAGGTATGGATCGTTGTAGTCGTCTCGGACATTCTTCAGCGCGTCGCGGAGGGCCTTGTACGAGTCCTTTCCGTACCAGAGGATCGAGTAAGCCAAGGCGCCGGTAGATGCGGCGAAGCCAAAGAAGAAATACATGGCGTATGATGTGGACCAGCGAGGAGGGGAGTAAGCGTCCATAGCCGTCTGGTTCAGGGAGCGTGTAATCAGGCGTGAGGATGCGAGTGATGTTGTAAGTCTGCCCTGTGAGATCGAACGTGCCAGACGACATTTGGGGGGGGGGCGGGTGGCTAATTCTGCGAGTTGATCGTGGTGAAGTACATGATCGGGTAGAGGAGCCAGCAGCAGAAGATCGCCCCAGCGATCTGGTGCGCATTGGCCCATAGCGGCGTGTACAGAGGGGAGAGGAAGCTCGCGTAGTTCCAATCCAGTGTCACGTCGAGCATTCCGAAGCCATCTTCTAAATGCCAGCTGCCTGTGTAATAAAATAAGGTGATTCAAAGCAAGATGCCCGACGGGCACTGGGGCCAGTTTCTAGACCAAACTTACAATTACCCGAGCCCATCAAATAAGCCTTCCACTGCCCATGTCCAAAGTAACATAGCAAGGGAAGAGACGAAAGGAGGGGAAATATGAAGCCAGGAATCCATTGGTAGCAAAAGGTAGCACAAGCGACTATGGCGAAGAACCCCAGGGATTTCTTGGTGACCGACGGATTCTTATGCATAGCATTAAACAAGGCCACATTAGGAAGAACTGCATCGGTGTCAGCTCCAAACTCGAAGTGTCAAGATTAGGGCTAGGTGAAGAGCGTTTCTTACCCCCGGGGTAATAGATCTTGGGTGGGCGGACCAAGATATCACGGTATATTCCAGTGAATGCGTATCCAATCATCTGGGATGTCAATAAGAAGCGAATGCCCCAGCCAGGGTTGATCTTGCGGCCATAGTACAATTCCAGTGCTGACAGCGGTCCAAGACCTGATCGAGGGTCAGTCGATCCTCTTGAGCATGGCATCCAGGGATCGCGGTCACCCACCATAGGCAGCATAACAAGAACCGCAGCACGCAACAACAATCAAGGCATGCTCCTTTGCGTTCCATGGCCCTGGATTCAGACTGAATGATTTTCCAAAAATGGTAAATGTGCTTTTGGGGAGGTATCTGGCCACTGTACCGTCGTTAGTGGCTTCTCTGTGTCCATGTGGGAACAGAACAGAACTTCCAAGACTTCGTATCAATTTCACTTACTTGCATCTCCCATGCCCCACGACAGCAACTGGACCGCATAGGAGCTAAGAGTCTGATAGTATGGTTTGAAGTAGTACATAGCCGAGATGGCGCAACCAATGACCACCCAGAAGGTGGACAGGAACCAGAAACGGAACGTGAGAATAGGCTGGCTGCGGTCCTGTCAGACAGGCGTCTCCCGAGGTAGGGTCCAAAAGGGCCCACTCACTTGAAGTCATTGTGCAAGTCAACCGTCTTCGCCACCAGAGGGACCGGATCTAACACAAGTCAATACACTGCTATCGACTGTGGTCCCATTCGTCTTCCCGACAAAGGCTTTGAGCAGGAGGGTTGTGTGATCCACAAGAGGACTAATATCATAACGTACAGTCCTTCAGACGAGGGTCGACAAACTCTTCATTGTCCTCCGGCACGTATATCTTAGCAGCATCATCGTAGTCAGAATCGGGACCGGTGGACACGACCTCGATATCCGGGTTCTTCTCATCGTAAGGCCGGGGCGATGGAGTGGTTCTGTCCCTAGATGGTTCGTGGTGCGGTGTGATCTCGGAGGTTACAGTGCCTTCCGGCCCACCTTCCAGGAACGACGGCCACGACGGATAGAGATTTGGATTCAGTCGGAAAGATAGAGACTCCCCCTGGTCACAAGCATGTTACTGCTTCTCAGAGAGGACTGCGTTGTAGCAGAGGATGGGCTTGGCATAGCCTTTATACCCGGCGGCCAAGATGCGAGGGAAAAGTAACGACATGCTGCACATGGGCGATAACGCACTGGCATGTAGTATCCACACCTCGCCGTCGAATTCGGCAGAGGTATCGACTTCCCGACACACGTCCTGCAGAGAGCGGGTGACCCATAGATCTGGACCTGGGAGTCGAGGCGGTGATGCGACATGCTCGTTATCTCCCGCCACATGGCTCTAGAACCCCCCCCCCCCCCGGTGCCTTCGGTAGCTTCCTCTTTCAGCAGTGGTTGGTGGAACCACATCCCAAGGTCTCTACCTCGTTATCAGCAACCAAGGCCACGACAGCGGGTCCTCAAGTCTTCCGGCAGAGACGACAGCAACAGGATTCAACGAAGCGTGGGTGAGCCATGGCGACGCACAGAAGGGCGAGACGCAAAGCTTCTGGAAGCAATCCAAACGAGGACGACGGTCCGAGATTGGGGCCTGGTGGGGTCGACTGCAAGGGCAGCATGGGTAGAGGGAGGCCAATGCCTTCACACCTGTCGTTGTCCGTCTTGAGAGAAACTTCGTCGACCATTCTGACAATGTGTTTAGCGGACGGTGAAGCCATGCCTGTCCCCACGCGACGGCGGCATTGCGCAATGCACGACACGCACGCTCAGGCCGTCTGAAGACGAGCTGGAAGCGACGATGTTCCCGTGACCATTGCCATACCAAGCCCACGCGGCAATCGAGACACCGATCCTCGTCTGTTCCATTCGACTCTCGAGAGTGAGGTCGTATCTGGCACCACTCGTGACCAATGAGAAGGGTGGATGATTGCAACGCAAGCTCCATGGGACCCTTGGGACCCAGAGATAAGGACGAGCCATCCATCCATCCATCCATCCGACAGACAGACAGACAGACAGACAGACAGACAGACAGACAGACAGACAGACAGACAGACAGACAGACGGACGGACAGACAGACAGACGGACCGACCGACGGACCGACGGACGGACCGACCGACCGACAGAGTGGTAGTAACAAGCTCGACGAAAAGAGATGAATCCTGCCTGAAGTTAGCTAGGCCTTGAGAGACAAAAGCCCCTGTTGCCAGGCAGTAACCACCGATAGCAGACCGAGGTGGCAGGGGAGGAAACTGCCGGACCAGCTATCCGCACCGGGCGAGATTGCCGCCGCGCCGCAGCACAAATCACGCTCGATGAATTGAATTGCCACTACCAAGCCCACGCGAAGGGGTTGATGAGAATGCCATCTTATTATCTGCCGTTGTTCATAGAGGCGTGGCATGCAGAGTTCAAGAACATACAAAGAGGGCAGGTCGTTTGGCCACAGCACATCTTGTAACCTTGTTGGGTAACTAAGGTCTTGGTCCTGCAGCCCTTTCCCGGTCAAGCTTCGCAGCAAGACATCTTGGCCGTTGCTTGATCGTTGCTTGATCGTTGCTTGACCGTTGCTTGGCCCCAGACTGTTGCATCCCGCTCGCCTTCAGTGCTGCGAGACTGCTAAGAATCCATTGTTGTCTTTCAGGCCGTCGGCCTGAATGTTGCTTTACCAGTAGACCGAACCGGGAACCGGGAAGACATCGTGCCTGCGAGAAGACGCCTTCAGGATTAAAATGTCGTAACATTGCCTCAAGCTACCAAGGTAGCCATATATCAGGCGAATAACAGGCAGGCATCAAGCATCACACACCTCCAAGTTCGAACCCCTGAGCCAGGCCCAACACTTGAATACATGCATGCATCCACCCCCCCCCCCCCCCCCCAAAAAAAAAAGGAAATAAAAGAAAAGAAAAGAAATAAAAAGGTTGAAAGACCTGAAAGAAATGAAGCTCCCCGCCCAGCTAACCCAATATGAACACTAAATGTCGATGGCACAGAATCGTAGAGGAGCAAGGGAGGGCCAACGAAGAAAAGTAGCACCCCGTCCTGAACACCGGACAAAAGCAAACTCGTGGGGCCATCGTACAGTCCTCATCATAAAGTAATCGGGCGAATGAGAGCCACCATCCTCCATCACGATCCCAGCTCACGCAGACGGAGCATTGGCAGTTCCTATCCCCCAGTACTGCTCCGCATAGAACGTCGGCGGGTCCGCCTTCTTCCACAGGTCGTTGAAGGCCGAGAAGAGCACCATGTCCTGCGGGTTGCTGGCGAAGGCCGCCCGGATGCTGCTGATAGCCGCCGCCTGCTGGTCGACGCCGGGGACCGCCTGCCCGTTGGCCGACCCCTGCCACGGCCAGCCCGACTCGGTCACGCGCACCCGCGCCGACGGGTCGCCGAGCTTGTTGCGGATGTTCTGCACCTGGTTGGCCACGAACACGCCCGCCTGGCCCGGAGCCGTGTTGGGGTCGAAGAAGGGGTGGATGTTGCACGCGCAGTAGTCGCTCGCCTTGCACAGCTCCGGGTGCGCGAGCACGGCCACGAACGTGTCCACCGTCACCACGGGGCCCGTCCAGCCCGACTGCTGCAGCAGCGCCCTGCCGCTCTTGAGCGCGTCCAGGATCTGCTGCGGGGACGCCTGCCCGTTGTTGACCAGCTCGTTGCCGATGCTGACCGTGTCGACGATCGACCAGTCCTTCTGGATGCCCTGCACCAGCGTGGCCACCTGGTCGCCCAGGTTGTCGAGGCTGAAGATGCCGAAGAACACCTTGAGGTTGTTGGCCTTGGCGGCGGCGTAGACGTTGGGGATCTGGTTGCAGTCCATACCATACACACGCACGAACCCGTAAGTCTTGCCGATGACGCCAAAGTCCTGCATGATCTGCGTGGCCGACTTGCAACCCCCGTCTGCGTTGTAGGGCGCGTACGCGACTCCGAAGAGACCAGAGCCCGTGGCATTATTGACGGGCGAGCCGGGACCTTGGGGCGGCGCGCCACCTGTGGGAGCTGCCGGCACTCCAGTCACCGTACGGGTTCCGGAGGCCTGATGCGCTGCCAGGCCCGCCGCCGACGCACTGCTGGTGGGCGGGACGAGGACGACCGTGGCCTCCGCGGTGGTCACGGGCGTGCCATGCTTGTCGACAAAGACGACAATCTCGGGAAGCGAGGTGGCTTTGGTGCGTGTGTGGTCTACGATTGTGACCGTCTGGCCCGCTAGGTTAAGCGACCTGGCGGCGAGGTTGTTGGCGTGGCCATGGTCATGGACCCTGCGGTGGTGGTGGTGGTGATGATGCTGGTGCTCTGCAGCGGCTAGGGAGAGCGCAGCAAGGCCGGCAACTGCTGTGGTGTTGAGCCGCATCTTGGGACCAGTCTGGTTGTGTCAAGGGAGGCTACGAGGTTGTCGGGGTTAAACGAGCGTGTGACTGATCGAGTCGTCGAGACACCAGGAAGTATCGTTGGGCTTCTTTAGGTGGTGCAGGATGGGAATGGTCAGCTGGTGAAGAGTGTTCGTCGGGAACGTGATCATGGTCAAGTATAGGGATGGACGGTGCTCCTCTGTCCATGGTGCTTGCCGACTGTTGATATTATGCATTCCAGGAGACGACAAGGCGGTCGCGCCTCACTCTGGGCGTCCACAGCCCGTCCACAAAACACGGGAACGAGCGACCTTCTTGGCTCCATCGCACCTCCTGACGACTGTTTTGTGCCTTCTTCGCAGTACGACGGCAGACCAGCCACCCCGTCGTTTGGCCTTTGGTTCAAGCACAATTGCATTGCCTTGATCGTCCTCCTTGTTGTCACCATGCTTTGATTTCGGCTGACTATTCGAATGCCTCATTCCGGGTCAGCTTGGCCTCGCAGATCACACCGGGCTGGCCTGGCTGGTTGCCTGGGCATTTCGATAGGAACGGGAGGAAATGGGGTGTGCTATTTCCAATTTCACCACTTGTCTCGCCCGAGCACGCAAGTGACGCACCAAGTGAGACAAGACAGACACAAGCTGGCCGGATGACCAAGCAAGGGCGCATGGCACTTGAAGCTGTATTTCTCAATAATTAAATTAGTCTAATTCCTCATGAATTGTTGTCGCACCGCCATGCTTGGGTTCAGAGACCTCGCTTGCAGCGACCACCGGGGATGCTCGGCTCGTCTCGTCTATTCCGGGCTGCCAAAGCTGCGATATATCAGGATGCATAGCGTCATTACATAAACGGTTGCGGTTTAAGAATTTGAATACCCAGTGGTCATGAGCCAGGCAACGACAGCTTGCTGCTGGTCTTTCTCGTCATAACCTTTGTGATTGCATGCCTGATGGTTATTGCTGCCTTCTCGATCTCCTTCTTGGAGAGGCCATTCGTAACGCACACTTTCAGAGCAGGCTGAGTGTGGCCGCCGCCAACGCTCTTGTTGATTAGGGCGGTCTTCAGCCGCGTGATCATGACACCGTTTGCGAGGGCCTGGCACATCTTTACTTAGCCACTCGCGAGACATGGGAGGGGATTTGCGCTCGCAGGAACAGGGCTCACCTCATCAACGCATTCCTGCAGCACTCGGTCCTGGTCCTCAAGGGACAATCGCCTCGACTGGACAACATTCGGCTTGATGACGAGCATGAGAATTGGGTTTTCCGGAGCACTCGTGCACATGACCCAGTCGCTCCGTGGGTCCAGTTGCGCCCGCGCCGCACGTATATTCTCCCGCGAAGAGGCAAGGATTTCGGGATTAGTCTGCAGCATGTTGAGGGTCTCGCTCGCTGTGACGGCGAGCATGGCGGGCAAAGCCGCAGAGAAGGTATACGCCATCGAGGCGATCCTCTGGTGGGCCACGACGTTCTTGTCGCCTGCACAGAAGCCACCGCCAGCGCACAAGGGGCCAGCCAGCGAACCGATAATCATGTCGACCTGAGCAGGGTCGACGTTTTGCGCCTCGGTGACGCCGCGGCCTGTTCGACCCAGGACACCGAAAGACCAGGTCTCATCGAGAATAATGCGGAACTTGTACTTCTCTTTCAGTTCAATCTGTGCGGTGAGGGCAAGCGTCAGCGTCCAGTGAGGGCCATCTTGGCGCGAGTTCCTGTCCTTACCATGCGTGGCAGGTTAATCGAGCCGCCCGTGGTCTCGGAAAGACCCTCGGCCACAAGGAAACGTCTCGTTAGCTTCTTCTGCTTCTTCTGGTCCTGGGCGACCTGTCTCATGACGGTTTCCAGGTCGTCCCAATCGCCCGGGTTATACCACTTGATCGTACACCTCGACAGCTCGATGCCCTTGCGGACGGGATAGTTGGTTGCGCGGTCGGTAACAATGACGTCGCCCCTCTTGCAGAACGCAGGGATGACACTGGAGCTGGTCGAAAAGCCTTGAGCATACAAGATGCATGCCTCGGTTCCTAGGTAGGCGGCAACGTCGGATTCGGTCTTCATGTGCACGTCCTGTGTTCCGTAAAACTGCGGGGGTCCGCAGGGGCCGACACCGTAGGTGCGAAGGGTATTGATGGCTTTCTCCTTGATCTGCTCGTTGGCATTGAAGTTGTACACGTTGTATGAGGCCAGGTTCGTGACAGTTCGGCCATTTGCCAGTCTGACCTTGGGACCGGTTGCCCTGCACGAGGCCGCCCTCTTGTTAGCTTTGCTTTCGTTGACAAGCGTCCCCGACACGCAGAGAGACAGACATACCCGACTATGACAGGAAGCCTCTCCATCTCCAACTCTTCGGTAGTATTCTGCTTGCCGACCAGAGGCTCGGGCTGCCACTCTTCGACGAGCTCCTCGATCTCATCCTCGCTGAGCTTGACGTAGTTGGAGTCGTTTGTCGCGTAGGACGGGCTTAACAGGTAGCGAATGAAGAAGATGAGCAGGAACAGTTCGAATATGGAGCGGATGGGGTCGTTCTGGTAGCTGGCCTGGACGTAACGGATGAGCACGGCGGACCCGGGGACCTTCTGGAAGGTCTGCGAAGCCTCGCGCAGCAGGACGGCCACCTGCGCCTGGATCTCGTGCAGATCCATGATGGTATTCTCGCTGATGCTGCTTGCCGCGATGAAGAAGACACTGACGGTCGCACGCGGGAAATATCGAAAGCCCCTGGGGTTAAGGGTGACCGGAGCCGGAAACGGAATGTTGGTGATAACGGGGAAGAAGGACAAAAAAAAAACCGTCTCCAAGGCAGGATGACGGTGATCAATAGAAGCGCGTCGTCGCTGCCGTGACGGGGGCAGGATCAGAGGATCAGGGGGCAATCTGCACTAACAAGCGGCAACCCACTCACTGCATTGGCGTGGGCCGATGAAACCCACCCACAATGTCAGCGTAGCTACGCACCGAGCGAGTACCGAGTCAACCACCCTTCCACCGTGGGCTTACATAACAGGCCGGCCGCATTCAGTCTTTGTACATGGACGCAGGGATTGATTCCAGTCTCGTAGAGTAGCGGGCGATGCGCAGCTTCAGATTCATAGCATTGCAACCCATGTATATTCATCTAAACTCACGCCGGCTCCACACATTACAATATGCCTTGAGCCTGCGATGCCATCCCACGCGCAGCATGAGATTACAAAGGAGGCCCTCTCTCTGCGGCACCGACCATGCCCAACGAAATCAACTGTCGAGTGGCTGACAAACCCATGCCACAAAGCAGATCCTTGAGTATAGCTTCCAGACTTGAATTAATTATGCCATTCATGATGCCGCCTCGGGTCATCAAGAAAACGCATCCAGAGAAGTATAGAATGCATGCCGTGTGAGTTTGCGTGCGTGCGTGCGTGCCGAGAAGGCGAGTCTAGACAACCATTTACCATGCCCATGATCCTTTCGTGTACTTGTCGAAAGGACGCACAAAATCAATACAATGTACTCCCTATAGCCCCCAAAGGTAAAGCAAAGAGCAATAAAAACACCGTGCCATGTGCAAAGGCCTTCCCGCTCTCCCCTCCAAAAAGAAATCTCTCCCCTCTTTCCTTTTATGAGACAGATCCCGGCACTTTAGAAGAGACGGATCTTGGCCGCGTCTCCCGTGCTTGACGCCGAAGCAGACGCAGTCATCGTCAGCAGCGCTCCCGTGTAGGATGCTGCACCTGTGCCTGTCTCCGTCTCACCGACGGTGTTGTTCTTGTCCTGGTCCGTGGGTTGAACCAGGTTCGTGCTGTCAAGCATAGAGAATACCGACGACGGCACGTACTTGCCCGCGAGGCTTGGGCCCACCATCAGCACCAGGAACAGGATCAGCAGCAGAAAGTAGAGCAGCGCATAGCGGAAAACACGCTTCCTCCTGAGCTTGGACTGCTTGAGCGAGTAGATTGGTGGCCGAATTTGCCGGCTGAGATGTCATGTTAGCGTTTCTCTCTTCATCAAAGAGCATTTGAGACGTACCTAGGACGGAGCCAGAAGAGCATGATGGAATGCAGCTTGTCCACCTGAGGGATCAGGATCACCGGGCACATTATGAACAGCAGTGCGTGTCCCAAGATGAAGTCCCCAGCAAAGAAGCTCAGCTCGGTGATCTTGCAGAGGAACTCTCGTGCAGGTTGCGAGACCGAGTGCCAACCCATCGAGTACCATTTACCGGTCCAGAAAGCGATGTTGGCCTGGTCAGTCTTCATTTCTCTCGTCAGGGCGAAGGTGATGATCAACTTCATCACCCAGCGCTGTACGGCGATGACTGCGATCATGCCGCTAATCGTCCGGGTGAAGTTAAAACCCTCGAGGACGTACATCACCTCGAAGAACACGAGGAGCATGATGACAGCAATAGCGTGCGCGATAGCCGCCAGTACGCTGCCGAACTTCTTGCAGCACATGCTGAACAACGGCCCCATGCAGCAAGCCATGGCGAAGAAGATCGCACACACGCCAGCGTTGACGGCAACGGGACCGAGGGCAACGATACCAACACGCATGAGGGCGGCGGTGGGCTTGGCGTCCGAATCGTTGTCCTTCAGGACACCACCGGTGTCGTGGACTCCAGTCTGCGCGTTAATGAACAGGTAAGGAATCAAGGTAACGACGGCGAGGAGCAGCGGGGCGATGATCTCGGCAAAGAACGTTAGTCACGTGAGCACGGTTCACATCAGCCGACAGCTTGCCCGAAGGCTCGCCCACGACCTTGCGCTTGTATCCAGTGAGTCGGGTACGAGAAAGACGGCAGTAGGCGATCCAGGACGACGCGTGAGACACCGAGTTACCACGGGAGAGCCAGCGGAGGAACTCGCGGTAGTCGATGAAGAAGTCGTTCCATGCGAACTGATGGGGGTTGTAGAGGAACGGCGAGATGCAGAGGGCGAGCAGAGACATCCAGAAGTAGATCAGGGCGGCCTGCCAGACAGTCAACGTTGCAAACAGCAACATCAACAGCATGCGAGCTCCAAAGTAGATAGACGGCCCAGCAAAACGCGAGAACAAGATTCCGAAGGGTATACGAGCGGTGGCGAAGCCACGGCCCGTACCGATATATCTGGCACCTCCGAATGACAAGTTCTGTTGCACTGCATTGGCGTAGATCTGACAGACGAACACCTCAAAGAAGGGTGATAGAGAGCAGATCTGCTTGGCCAGACGGGTCGAGGCACGCAGGACTCCACGCTCAGTCAGCTCCTGCACAACCAGAGGCACGAAGGCGAGGAAGATGACGAAGATAATGGAGATGACACTGCGATAGACCCAGTCCATCAGCGCAGCCGTGTTGTTGCAACCCGTCGGGTACATAGGGTCCGTAATAGGGACGTCCCGGTTGTAGCTGCAGGCGATGGTCTCATGTCGGAGGGCACCAAGGTTGATCAGACAGAGCATGAACATGTGGACTGAGAGCATGATGAACATGTTGTTGACGTGGAATCCGGGATGCGCGTAGTAGAACGAGAGGAATCGGTCCAGAGGCAGCTGGGTACCAAGGTAGTAGTACTCTCGAGACAGCATCTGTTCACCCATACCCGTTCCGATCTTGGTCGTGAAGTTGAGAATCGAGCCAAAACCCAGATCACGACCTTTACCGCACTGGAAGTATTCACAGTGCTTGATGCGACCACCACGTAGGACGGCGTTCATACCAGCATAAATATCCTCGTTCAGATGAAGACCCTTCTGCGCCTTGGAGACACCTCCTCTCGTGGTCATGTAAATACCGTTGAGGAAATCAGGATGACCGTAATGGAGCTTGCCGCCGATCTGGGCCAGCGTACGAGCGAAGAGAGTACCGAACGTTTGCTCCTTTCCTGCGGCGACGTCACCAAGAATACCGATGTTCTCAGAGAAAATGTATTCACGTGCACCAAGGATAGCAACAGGAGCGGGAGAGTTGTTCTTGACCCCGGGAGTGTAAGGAGAGACGTTTTCGGTCTTCATCTCCTCGAACTCGGCGAGTACGCTCCGGATCTTCAAGCACTCCTCGAGATAGTTGTCCTGGTTGGCGTCGATGAGCTGGATGTATTCGCCGCGGTAGAAAATGATCGAGTGGTTCTGGTTGTCGGATTTGCCGTCTCCCAGAATGGGGTTACCAGAGAGTTGGATTCGGAACTTGGGCTTTCGCATGCCGTTCTCCATGAGCTCACAGTGGCCGTCGATAAGAGCCGAGTACAAACGTGGCTCCTCGCCCTCGTTTGCTGGCGGCTCCTCATCCAGGTAAGCGATCTGCAAGTCGGGATACGCACGGAGGAGGAACTCGGCGTTCTCCATTTCCTCCTTCTTGAACTTGGCATACCGTTGCATGGAGACACAGATCTTGAACTTGCGGCGAGCCATGCGCTCGAGCTCACGTTCGAGCTTGTCAGAGTTGCCGCCGAACATCTGCACGACCTCGGGGTTCTCAACGCGATAGAGCAGCTTGATAGCGCGACTGTAGTTCATGAAACCAGAGATGGTACGGTAGAGAGTTTGGAAGCGAAGCGAGGCCCAGATCCGGGTGCGAAGCGTATACTCCGGTGCGGAGGACTTGAAACCGATGCAGTAGAAGGGGAGGTCATCAATCTTGCTCTTTGCCGTGTCCTTCTCAGGCTTCTCCTCGTCACCGTTGTACTGCGCAGTTTCATCCGACAGAATCTTGGTATCCTTGACAAAGCAGTCCCACTCGTGGGGGTGCAGTTGCTTCAAGTACTCCAGCAGGGTGACGCGCGAGTACGGCTCATCCTCACGGATAATTTCCCGGAGAGACAGCAGGATCTTTTCGCTGTAGTGTGGGATGAGGACCGTGAACGTCGGCATGTTGTCCACAGGAAGCGGCTCAGGGATTGGGGTGGACAAGGACTGCGCGAAGAAAGAGATGCGACGCTCTGCTTCGCTGTGGCTCGGGAAAAATTCCGTCTTGAAGGAGTGATCTTCCTGCGAGACGAAAAAGGTTGGAGCACGCAGTGTACGCTTCCCCTCCTGTTCGGACGGCACCTGATGGTAGAGAAGCTTCTGCACATGGTCGATGGCGAGTAGATGCTCTCGGTACATGGAGATGACGATGGCGTTCCAGATCTGAGAAATGAGCACCTTCGGCTTGTACTTGATCTCCATGTCGGTCGTGGCCAAGACCTTGGAGTAAATCCTCTTGGGTAGACGCGAGAAAACGTTCCTCCAGGGTGTCATGATGGAGGAACCGAGATAGAACGATCTGGCGATAGAGACCACGGCGTTCAATATGACGTAGAACAAGTAAGTATCGAGGAAGAAGAAGACCAGGTCCGTGAATGTCATCAAGATAAGAAGAATCGTCGGCTGGTACTTGCAGAGATTGTTCCCGATGATAGTGTCACCCAAACAGCTACTGGTGTCCATTATGGCCAGATAGCGAATGGTGTCTCGGAATGACAAGGTCAGGAAGCCGTAAGATTCACCGAACTTGCAACCAAAAATAACACACCACATGCCATAAGACATAGCCATGTCATTGCCCTTCAGCCGAGGCCAACTTGCGGTAAAGGTCTGGCTGGCCACATAGCGTCGAGACTTCTTGCTCACCAGATAGCTGCCAAAAAGCCCACCAAGAGGCATGATGGCAAAGAAGAGCAAGGTGATGAGAGCAATGAAGAACTGTGCAACGCCAAGAGCCAGGGCAATGGTGGAGTTTTGGTGTGCATTGTACTCCGCAATCGTAGCCTGGGGCAAGAACACGTACACGCCAGGAGCAACGTTGATGACAAAGACCAGGATGAGGAATAGCAGCCGCTTGGTAAGATGTTGGGCACCGGCCCATCTCCTGGGAACGTAGGCCCATTCTGCAAGCGTCGCCAGGATCTGGATGAGAGATGCTATGCCTCCACCAAAACCGACAATAGACCATGAGGCAGAGCGGGCGGGTTGCTGGTTCACCTGCTGCTCGTAATTAGGAACAAGCAGAGACGGAGCGTTGTTGGCCGTGAACATCCAGAAAACCGTCAGGTGGATGACCCAGATGCGGTTGAAATTGACAATCAGGTGCATCCAAGACCGAGTCTCCTTGTACGTCTTGAAGAAGCATTTCTTCCAGTTCACCTGGTTCAGCTTCAGGTACCGCTCTGCAGGAGGCACGTCGACCAACTTCGACTTGTCCTCGAGGACGATACGCTCGATGCCCTCGGGGTACCAAAACAGCTGGTTGCAGTCATCATAGCCAATAATCTTGTTGTGGTCACGCTCACGTCGAACATAAACACCGTTCGTGATCTCGTAACCCTGGTCTCTGCAGTACTGGTACAGAGGTGTGATGACGTTGTTCAGGAACGTGAACTCTGGCACGGGCTCGACGGAGTTTTGGCACGCTGGCGAGTTCAAGTAGTCGTCGGCGCACTTGAAGACAAAGCATAGACACTCGGGCATGAAACGAACTTGGTTGGCTTCGCCCCAGCAGAGCAGGTAAAGGCCGAGCTGCCGCACACGATCGTGCTGGGACATGCGGTTCATGCGAGTCTTCCAACGGAACTCGGCAGCCTCGAGCGAGTTGTCGCCTTCGAGATCTTCAAGGGTCTGCTCCTCGGCCTCGTTCTTGCTCTTCTTCTTCTTTTGCTTCTTCTTTGACTTGGAACCCTTCACGTTGGAAAAGCCGACGGCATCGTCGAGATCAAGATGTGCAGCGAAGTACCACTTGCGGAAGTTCGCGTTGTCTCCGCCAATGTAGTCGGCGTGGAGGGAGAGAAGCGCTTGATTGGGAGTCATACGCGAGGCCCGCGAGTCCAGCAGTGTCATCAGGTGATCGTACATGTTGCGCATGCTGTCTCTCTGGAAACCGAACTTGTTTGCAAGATCGATGAAGATGTCCTCAATCTCCTCTTTGGAAAGAGGGATCTGGGCTTCTGATGTCCATGCGGGATACGGCTCTCGGGAGCGTTGGCCAGCCGGGAGAACATTGCCATAGTCCATAGCATAGTTGGGCGTGGAGGCGCCCGACGAACGGTTGCCGCCATACGATATCTGTGAAGACGGCGGGCGGTAGCCACGGCCCTGTCCATCTTGATAGCCGCCGTAGTTCTCGTCGCCTCGACCATAGTAGTCCATGTCGGCGGCTCGGGCCATGTCGGACCTCATCGTGAAGTCACTGAAAGTCTCAGAGTCTTCCTCGGAGCCTCCACGGCGCTGGCCATGGCCGCCGTAGCCACCTTGGTCGTAGCCTTGGTCGTAGTAGCCGTTGTCGTAACCGTCGTTGTACTGGTCGTGGCCCTCGTAGTAGCCGCCATCTTGGTGGTAGGGGTTGTTCGGGTCGGAATTGTAGTAACCCCTGGCAGAGCCTGTCAGATTCATTTGGGACTGGGATGGATGGTCAGACGCGACAAACTTACGACTCGTCGTAGTAGCCCTCCTGCCCGCCATGGCCGCCGTGGGCATCATAGCCGTTGTCGTAGTATTGACCCTGGTCATTGTCGTAATAGGAATCAGTATTTCCTTGCTGATGATGGCCGTAGCCATCATCATAGTCGCGGTTGGCCGGATAGCCCGACATATTGGATTAGATGTCTGGGCCGGGGCAAGTCAATGTCAGCGAGTTGATCAACCATCTGGAAACAGGACGCGGCTTGTGATGTCGGCAGGGTGGGACCGTTGCGTCGATTGTTGTTGGCGCAGCAGTCAGGGGTGCAAGAGCAGGACAGGACCAGCAGGGGGGCGTGACGTGGTTCCTTGGCTCGCCCGCGTTTGAAGTTGCTGGGGAACAAAAGGAAGTGAAACTCACCAATCAGACTCATGTGGCCTGGAATGGAGGGAACAACCGAAAGAGACCGACTTGAGAGTCGATTTATTAAGTATAGTCCGTGCTGTGCAGTAAGCCTCGGGATGATTAAAATCAAAAGTGGCTGGCCAGAGACTCGATGAGGGTGCTCGGCGAAAGTGAATAGTACGCAGGTGCTGAAGAGCAGTCGGTATAATTAACCTTGCGCGGTCGTGACGTGAGTGTGAACGTTCCGTTGCGGAGGCTGAGCAATCCAAATTCCAAAACAGGAGGTGCCGAGCGATGGAATAGAGAGGTTGAAGAGAGGCGTGTTGGCAAGAATCCTTGTACGGGATCGCTTTGTCCTTCTCTGGTCTCCTTCTCTTCCACGGGTTCTATCCTTATCCGCAGCTGTTCCTGTTGTACGATCCCACAACCACTGTAGGAGCCTGGGATGGCCGAGGTGCTCGGTTGGATTGAGGTTCTCCCAGGTCGAAGGCACCCAGAGCGATTGGGTTGATTGATCGGCGCTAAGTGAATCAGCGAACGGCAAGTCGGCGACGCGCTAGGTAGGCGGTGCCGGCAAGGGAGAAAGCACAGCAGAGGCTGAAAGGAGGAAGAAGGGGGGAGGTCGGGAAAGAGCGAGTGTAGAAGGAGAAGGGTGGTGAGGAAGGGAAGGTGAGAAAGTCGAGATTTCAGGAAAAGTATGGTCCAAGAAAGCTGGCAGACCGGTTTTCTTGGTCATGGAGAAAAAACCGAGCTGGGGAGAGAGACGGAGTGCTGCCAGGCTAGAAGGAGGGTGCGTGGTTGGTGTGAGGCCTGTCCTGTGGTGGGCAGCGGGAACTTGGAAAGGGGGAAAAGGAGGCTGCAGGTGCCAGGAGTGACTTCGGTGGCAGGGGGGTGGCCAGGGCGGCAGGGGCCACACCTTGCTCTTCCTCCCATCACTTCCAATCAGGGCCGCACCCACACCTACAGTGCCCTCCAGTGTTAGTTAACACGGTGGAGGAAGTAGGCCACTGTCGTCCTCTTGTGAAAGGAAATGCAAGCACACCCACACCCCTCCTCCCCCTCCGATCGCTGGCTCGTCCGCACCCGGGCACTACACCTAGGTACAGAACCTTATCTCTCTGCCTTCGCGGTGCTGGCTGTCCTGGCTGCTTCTAGGGACTGCCCTGCGTGCCCTGCCTGTCCTCCTGAGCGGCCTTGATTGAAAGCCTCCGGCTGGGAGATGAGCAGAGGAGGATTGGCCGACAACTGCATACCAACCTGGAACATCGAGTCCGTAGCTGGTGGGGAGTGGCTGTGCGTAGCTCATTCATCTTCCTCGGCGTACTGTGCTCTACTCTTGCGGCCGGGTGGGCTCGCAACGGCAGCATGGAGTTCAAACTCGGGCTCCATTCGTTCCATGTCCTGTTCTCTGCTTCCATGACTGCGTGCTACATCCTCTACTCCTGGCAAGGTTTGATGAGGACCCGGCTGTCATTTATCACACATCCAACCGATGGATATCTACGATGTACTGTACAGTAGGCCAGCCTTGTCCTGCGCTTGGCTGCGCAGTGATGTGCCGTTCATGGGACAGGCAGCACATGCGATGTTGGACCGGATGAACTGAAAGTGCTGGCTGGCTGTGTGTTAACTCTGATGATGGAGAATGATGGGGAGTGGTTTGTCACGAGCGAACATGCCCTCGCGACGATGAAACACGCTCGCCTGCGGTCTGCCGTCTGGGACCCCCGGCAAGAAGCATTGAAGCAATCATTTCATCCACCCCTTGATGGTAGTCTATGTAAAGGACTGTATCGTATCCTTGCTGCCCTGCCAGGCTCACGATCGACAGACACAGCCGAGAAGCAGACGATCCATCCCGGCTGGCCAACCCGCCCGGGCCACGGACTCCGATCCGACGACGGAATGGCGACCAACGCTACATGGAACAGCAGAGAATGACCGCTGGGACCACCATGTACACGTGCGAGCGGCCCGTCAACCATCACTTGGCTCCCAGCCGCCATCATCGAATGCTGCGTTCGGCCTGGACTTCAGACCGTGTGGGCGTTCCTCATTCCATCGATGGGTGCTGCTCGGGCTGTAACGGTAGACTAGACGTGCTAGACTATTGTGTACAGGCGGCGATTGCGCCAGTCGGCGCTCTCAATTTGCCACCCAATGCTTCTTTCTCTGCGTGCACGCTACTGTGTAGCAAACTCGCAGATCGATGGGTTAATGAGCCTCAGTTGGCCGGCTGCCACCCGTCAATGCCGCATGTCAGGATGCGTGTGTTAGACTAGTCTCTGTACTGTGCTGTGTAAATGGACGCATTCAGTAGATGACCGTGAGTGCTGATCAGGACATGAATCCCTCCCAGGCGTTGCTGGCGAGTCCCTCCGGTTGATACCAATGGCTGGCAGACCTGGCAGATTGGCCAGAATTGGCTGCTCGAATCGCGTCCTGTTGATCGTGTTTCGCCACAAAGGAGCTGCCCATTTACCCCTGACGCCTGCACGTCGGGGCACCCATCTCCAATTGACCGAGCCAGGCTAGCCCGACTAGGCTAAGCGACCCCCCAATGCAGGAGAGCTCGTAATGGGAATCCGAGGGACACGCAGCCACAACCGACCGTGCAGCCGTGCAGCCGTGCTGCAGCCTGCAACAGCTCAACGCGCAATAGTGGGCCGTGGATCGCACCGTCGGGGCTGCTTTGCTCTGGGCCTGCAAGTCCCAAATAAAAATTTATAAAAGAAAAATTTAGGAAAAAAACAGTCGGGGATCTCTATCACCTGTCTGCCACCCTAGACGTCATCATGAGAAGCATGCACGGCATATCGAGCTTGTGATTAACAAATTGCGGTGGCCAGGTGGCCGCATAAACACCACAAAAGACCGCAAATCATCTCCTCGAGGCTAATTAACTGGCCCGTCCGTGCTGTTGGCCCAAGGACAAAAGATTCGGACGCTGGTGGGAGACTGGCAGGACTCGGCTGCTCGCACGTCAACAACAAGCCTTGGGATCCTACTCATGATCCTCCAAAACACACAGTAGACTCCATTCCACAGTGCTGTCGTATTCGTCGACTGCCACCACACCACTGATAAAGTTCATGCAGGAGGGCAGACTGGCAGACCGGGTACGGTACAGATAGTGCTGTGCTCTGCAGACGTGCATTTTCCAATACGAAGGCCCGCAGACCGCGTCGGTATCGGCTTATCAGTCCCAAGTCCCGCCTTCCCATTGCACCGGGCACGTCTCCCAGAAATTTGGATGCGCTGGTGGCCCGCCACCCGGACGCGGTGGGTCTCCATGTTAAGGAGCGACCGTCCCATGGGCCTATTTTAGATCGGCCAGGGATGCAGGGATACCGCGCGGCGTCGTTGCCCCTCCCGCTGGCACTGTGTTCCCTGTCCATGTAATTCCCGGCACTTCCGTCCCTCCTGCACGGCTCAATGGCGCTGGCGCGGGTGCTGACGCCTCCCCAACGGCCTCCCAGGCAACTGACGACTCGCCCGACGCGCTGAAGCACCCACTGAAATCAGTGGTTTGGAGACCCGGGCACACGTTCAGACGTGTGGCAGCCTCGCCCGTCGTCGATATGAGTAGTCGATGCGCTCTGCGTGTCGCCAGCAGCCACAGTGTTGCGCGGGGCGCCACGCTCTCATATGCTGTGCTTGTGTCCTGTAGCCCAGCGCTTTTCTTTGCCGATTAAGTGCACATGTTGTCTGTCGTCGTCACCACGGCCAAGCAAGGAGGGACAGACATAGATGGCCAAGTGCCTATCCCGCGGGGTCTTGCGGCAGTCCGACCGGGCAGCGCCGCGGCGCCACCAACTGCTGGACGCATCACGGTTCGACGCCTCTCAAAGTCACCATCCGTGCCAGACCACGAGATTGACACGCAACTGACAAACATACGGATCCGACATTGAGGCCTCCCCGCTTAGCAGTACGACAGGCGGTGATCCTCTGATCAGGCTTAGGCGTTCCTACTGGTCATATCATCACTAAGCTTCATGTCTCGTACGCACTGCCTTCTCAACAATCTTCTGCGTGGGCGCAGAGGCTGCTATGTATGATAGTATAGTCCAGTTGGCCATTCACATGGCAATGCAAGATAGGTGTGGTACGGCTGTACAGCATCAATCCCAGTTAGAGGTGCTGTAACACACGATTTGGCGCCAAACCTGACGCATGCCCGACGACGCTTCGTGTCTTGCGCTGTCGTCTCAGACAGAGCCTGCGCCTCAAGGAGACGCAACATAGCTCAAGTAACACAGTTTCGTGGCCAGAAGTAACGGTCGTGGAACAGGCCGAATCAGGTGCGGAGCTTCCAAGATTCTGAGGTCACGTACATACTGTAGTATCGTCAAGCCAGAACTAATGTGTGCCTACGTGTGCGCGGGGATCATGTGTGCGTAGTTCTAGGTAGACCTGAAGGTGGCAGTCCAACAGGAGGAGTTCGTTAGGAGCCAGTCGGGGCAATGAGCCAGCCACCAAGAGACTAAGCACACATATCGCCTCTCAACAATACACAATAAGATTCACAATCAGTGGCAGACAGGGAACGGCCTTCGCGGGTACAATTTCGGCGGCACCCGGTTACGGCAGGCCGTTGCCCTGGAAACATGTTTACTGCACTCACGGACAGACCCCATTATTTTGTCCAGCAAGAACTATCTGACATGAGAATGCATACACATTTTGCGCTCACATGGGCAAACTGCATCTGATATCTCACTCTTAAAACATTTGTCTTCGTTGACGTCTTCGGGCTTGGAAGGATTCGCAGCAATGGCTAGAGGCAGGCGCATTGTGGTCGACTCGGACGACGACGACGACGACTTCCCCGAACTGCAGGATTTGGGCAGGAACAGAAACCAGGAAAGCAGAAATCTCGGCGGCCTATCAGAATCACAGGCAGAGGATGCTACCGGCAAAGGCACGGTCAGGCGGCGCAAGCTCGGGGCACTGTCCGACAAGACGTTGCTCCGACCCAAGATGGACAGAGGCTCGTCGCGGACGATCTTTGACGACGATGGAGATGACTTCACCAGACCTCGGCGGACTGAGCTCCGGACCACCAAGCCGAGACCGGTGGTCAAAAGTGTTGAGATTGATCGCTGTTCAGATACCGACTCGATGCATGAGGAGACGATCATCGAAGACTTCTGTGACGATGACGGGTCCGACTTTGAGGCCAGTAGGATCTCAGGGTCGGATGAGAGCGACTTCTCAGGCGAGGAATTCCTACAAAGGTCTCCATCAAAGTCGAAAAGACCAGGCACCGAAACGAAAGAGAGGAACAGGCTTGGGCAATCGAAGCGAAGCCCCAGTCCGAGTGCACAATTATTATCGGAAGCGATTGAGGCACAGGAGCGGAACGGTTTGCGGCAGTCTGGCAGTGAGGGCGATAGAGCCAACAGCAAAACGACTTCCAAGAAGGCAAGCAAGTCAAGAGACATCACGCCATCAGACCTCGCAAGACCGCTCTCGAAACTGACCATGTGAGTTTGTCACTTTTTTCATTGGCATGTTGGGTTACTGATGAGGCCCTGTAGACATGACTTAAAACCACCCAGCTCTCAGGAGTCCTCATCAAGTATCGAGCGACCAAAGACACCGACATCTCCGCCTCCACAGCCCAAGACATCAGGCCTGGTATCTCCAAGCAAGAAGATACCGCGCATACCAGCAACGCCCCATCACCCGAATGTGGAAACCTTTTGGGACCAAGAGTTCATTGATGACTGGAACGACGAGCACTCGCCCAAGAAGCAGCTGTTCCTCCCGTCCGTCGGTGGCAGCCCGTCCAAGAAGCAGAGCAGTCCCAGCAAGAAGGGCGAGCCCAGTGCGGCGGCGATAGCCAAGGCCGCGAAGAAGGCGTTCGAGCAATCCAAGCACGAGCTCGCCGATAAGTTCCTGCACGAGCTCGACACACACATCACCGATGGCAAGATCTCGGAGCTCTCGGCCGCGACGGGCGGGATCCGCATCGACTGGACCAACAAGCTGAACACGACGGCCGGCCGGGCCAACTGGAAGCGCGAGACGATCAAGCGTAAGGACGGCGACACGGGCGCCGTCACGTCGGTGCGCTACAAGCACCACGCGTCGATCGAGCTGGCGGAGAAGGTCATCGACGACGAGGGCCGGCTGCTCAACGTCATCGCCCACGAGTTTTGCCACCTGGCCAACTTCATGGTCAGCGGCGTCACCACGAACCCGCACGGCAAGGAGTTCAAGGCCTGGGCGGCCAAGGTCACCCGCCGGTTCGGCGACCGCGGCATCGAGGTCACCACCAAGCACAGCTACGACATCGACTTCAAGTACGTGTGGGAGTGCACCGCGTGCGGGCTCGAGTTCAAGCGCCACTCCAAGAGCATCCACACCGACCGGCACCGCTGCGGCGCCTGCAAGAGCGAGCTGCGGCAGATCAAGCCCGTGCCCAGGGGGAAGCCCGGCAAGGAGTCCGAGTACCAGAAATTTATGAAGGAGCAGATGAGGCTGATCAAGCAGGAGAACCCGGCGAGCCCCCAGAAGGACATCATGAAGATGGTTGCGACGCGGTGGTCTCAGAAGGAGAAGAACACGGGGTCGGGGCACAAGAAGTCGACCTCATCCTCGCAATGTAGCAATGACGGCAGCAGCAGCAAACCTCACAAGGTCGAAGGGGTTGCACAGGCTCTGGACCAGCTGGCACTGATAGATCTGACATAAAAATCTAGCCTGGCCGCACAGAAAGCGTCTGAAGTTGTTTATTTGTTGATCAGCATGGCCGAGCATCTTCTCGAGTGCCCTGTTCATAGTTCCAGCGTGCAACAGCATTCAATGATATCCGTTTTCTATTGATATCTGAGCCATCAATCCGCACTGTCGTAGTAACGGTGCAAGAATGCGCCAGGTGACATGTATTCAGGGGACAAAGTTCATTCGTGATTTCATGATATTCGTTGCATAACAGTTTCCACGCGCATATCCCAGCTCATGCATTAGGGGGTATCACTCTCACTCTCATTCCAAATGTCTGCTGTCTCCTTCCCTGGCCTCCTGGCTCTCTTAGATCTCATTGAACAGGTTCCAGTCGTTCACCCTGAACGTCTCCCAGATCCTGGCCGCATCCTCGACCGCGGCGCCGATCAGCTTGCCCTGCTTTCCAAGCTGCAGGTCGACCTCCTCGTCGTCGTACTCGCCCTTGATGTGCGGCACGTTGACCGTGATGAGTATGTCGGTCAGCTCCTTCTCGAGGCGCAAGAGCGTCAGGATGATGGCCGTGAAGTCCGGGGCGGCGGATCTGCTGGACGGGTCGGGCGGCGGGGTCTGTGTCGCGATAAGCGTGTAGGCGGGGATCTGTGCGCTGTGCAAAATCAAAGAGAAGAGCGTTAGTCAACGGTCGCATGGGCTGGGGCTGGGGAGCTCCAGTCGTGCGTGCGTTCAGGCAGGCGTACTCAAGCTTGGAGAAGACCGTCTCTGTCGAGTTCCACACCTTGACGGTGTCGACGTCGGTACCGACCAACTCCTCCAGATGTGTGGTCAGGGCCTTGCCATCAATCTCCGGGGAGCTGCCGGCCCCTCCAACGCGCTCAGTTATGTCGAAGATGATGCTCGTAAACCCATCCTTGTCGATGAAGACCTCTTGGGCGTCGGGGACCTGGCGAAGCGTACTGTTGTTGTTGTTGACAGCCAGTCAGCACTATCAACGCATTTGGGTGCAGAGCCGTGTTGGATATGAGAGCGAGCGCGGTGCTGCCCCGCCTGAGTCGCAGTCAGCGACGGACTCGCGCGTACCTGACATCTGCGAACTGCTCGGGTAGGTCGCATTCCAGAGCCCCGCCAAACAGCTTGGTGCGCTTGTAGACAGTCTCGGCCATGTTTACTTGGTGGATGTCGGCGTGCTGGGCGAGCAGTTTCGTGGGTTTGGGGCTACTGAGAAATATGTCTAGATGCAGGTGGCCTTGTCATCCGTTATGTGCAATGCGACAGAGTCTCATGGAGTGTTGGGCAAGAAATGTAAGGCAGGCGCAAAGACGTTTCAAGGCAAGGCAGGGCAACTCAGCCTCCAAGACAGCGGGGCTGGCGATGATGTAAGAAGCCCAGGTGCCGTGGTCCGGCCTTGGCTCAGGTTGACACATTGCAACCTACCATTAGACACCCAAGGAGCAGGGTAATTAAAATAGCAAAAACCTGCCGTACATACCTCAAAGTTGCAGTTTTCAAATGGGGAAACCTAGCAAAAAGGAAACACACTGTGAAAACAATGGCAAAACGGTGATCGAATCCGGAGTCTCCAGATGAGAAAGTGCCAAAGATTGGTAGAATGGAATTTGTTGGGTCATCCCACGGTCACATCTGGTAAAAGGCAAGAGGTGAGTTCGCTGGGGAGATCCCATTCCGACTTGGGCCACATTCTGGGGCCTTATATACCCACAGATAATCACGCCGCTGTTCGTCTTGATGTCAGACCCCTCACATCCAAACCGCAACCTCGCCGACACATCTCCGTTAGGATCTGTACTACATTCCGTTCTTTCACAACTCTAACCTACCTCTCATAAACCCAATTGTCTCTCATCCACCAATTCACTCGCAAGTACCCGCTCATGTCCAGCAGAATGGCAGCCTGTATCTTCTGCAAGATCATCAAGGGTGTGTGACGTCCTCGCGGCCCAAGGTGACATGACATCGCATGGGCACGGCTCTTAAACTGCCCCCAAGAACCTTGATGGCTCACACGACCGCTTAATGCAGGCGAGATCCCCTCCTTCAAGCTCTTCGAGAGCGAGAAGACGCTGGCCTTCATGGATATCCAGCCCCTGAGCAAGGGTCATGCTGTATGTCTAGCCAGTCCGCCCTGGACTGTCCCCGCCCGATCAGTCATACATCACGTATCTTCTCACCTACTCACTCACTCGCAACAGCTCATCATCCCCAAATATCACGGCGAGAAGCTGGCCGACATCCCGGATGAGCACCTGACCGAGCTCCTGGTACGTCTCGCCCATCCGTAGTCTTTGCTCTCGGTTTTACCGTCTCGGTAGACTTACAACGCGTACACAGCCCGTTGCGAAGAAGATTGCTATAGCGTCCGGCGCGGTCGACTACAACATCCTGCAGAACAACGGCAAGATCGCCCACCAGGAGGTTGGACACGTAAGTCCCTCTCAAGAGAAGCCACGAGCTACCAGGATGGCTAACGTTGATGCTATTAGGTTCATGTTCACATTGTGAGTTCCTGGAATTGTATAAGCCCACGCCGCTCTCCTCCCTGGGGGCAAAGTAGTCGACAGTGCCCCATGGGGTTGGGAAGGTTGGTCGACATCGCGATGATTGCTAACATGTGCCGGTGCGACTCAGATCCCCAAGCCAAACGAGACTGAAGGCCTAGGCATCGGCTGGCCGACGCAGAAGCTAGAGATGGATGAGCTGAAGGCTCTCGCCGAGCAGATCAAGAGCAAGGTGTAAGAAGTTGGCCTGCGGAACGCAGCTGCGAAAACCACCCACTGCTTCACTGTCCATAGACTACTCACTGCGCTTGAAATCTCCACATTCTCAAAACAAGCACCGGAGCAGCCAGAGACCTTGTTGTCTTTCTTTCAGCAGTGTCGCAGCCGCCGGAGCCTCTATTTTTGATACTGCGTGATATATACGTCTATGAGCGTGATCATTAATCCACGTCGTCCGCCGTCGTTGCCGACTCGGCATTCGCCTTCTTGGGGTACGGGTCGACCTTTTCTCCTTGCAACCATCCCGTCCGGTCATAGAGCGACCTCGCCCTCACGTATGGGTCCAATTTCCAATAGTCATCCCTGAGCTTCGCCGCGATGCTGCCTCGCTGTACCTTGACTGAAGCGTCGTCGGGGTACTGAATCCATTTCAGAGTCGCGGCCTCGTAGTCCTTGTACAGTTGCTCACGGGCGGCCAACAGGCCATCTCTCGTAGTCTCATCCTTCATCTTGTCATTTTCACCAGGTGTGGGCTCCACGTATGTGTAGGTCCAATCCTCCTGCCCGTCGAGTTCCTTCAGCACCCGGCTGGAGTGGATAAACTGCTCGACGTCCTTGATGTTGTTGGTGAAATGCACTTTGCTAGCCACCACTGGATCCAGCCAGCCCTTTATGATCTTCCATATTCCTATTGTTTGTGTCAGCCCAAGTCACTTATCATCAGTGGGGAACACATCAGTGGTAGTACACTTCATACCTTGGAAGATCCATGGTGACTTGTGTACGAGCACTGAGCCCAGCGACTCGGGATAATTAGCCTCAAAACACTTAATCATGAACTTCACCGGCGTGTAGTCCTATGCAACCGTCAGTAATGGTCTCCAATTTCTGAGTCAAAACCCTGGCTTACCATATTAGCCATTGAGAAACCAGTCATATCGAACAAGATGGTGGCGGTATCAACAGGTGGGCATAAAACCATGCGCGCCGTTTCGATTAGGTACACGGTGTACCTCTCAAGAGACTCCTCACACTGTTCCCCTTGGTGATGCAGCCGTACCCTTACAACACATATCGGGCGTCCCTTGTCGTCGACACCATGGAGGAAGCTCTTGCCCATGCGGATTTGCGCCATGAAGTCCTCTCCTAGCTGCTTGGCCTTTGGGTCGCTTGACTGCGACTTCTCGACCATCGCAGCCTCGCCATTTTTCATAATGTCATCGTCGACGTGGACCTCAGTGGAGCGCCAGTTCATGGTAGACACCAGCATGACAAGCGCGTTGTCGACGTCCCATTTTCTTGCTCGAAGGAAACGCAGCACCAGGGCATCGGGGTGGTCGTGCTTGATCATGGCCCAGAGCGTGGCGCGGATGACCTCGGGCGACGTGGTCGCCAGTGTATCCAGGAACTGCTTGTTTTGCCCGTACTTGTCGTCGGCATCGTCGGCTTTGATCGAGGCGCTCACACCACTCGCGGTTGAGTTCGAGTCCGCGTCGGTCTTGTCCTTGCTTTTCCTGGAGAACAACGTAATCTTCTTCTTCTTTCCTTTGTCTCCCTTGTCTTTGGAGTTCGTCTTGTCTGACAGGGTCGCTGGCGACTCTACTGAGGCGGCATCGTCCTGTTCGCCGACTGCGCACACCTGGAAGATGGCAGCCCAGAGCTTTCGCACCTTCTCCTCTTGCTCAGGGGTCAGGTTTCCAACGCGCCCAGGTAGCAGCTCGGTTGTGATCTCTTGCGCCATTTCGCTAAAATCTTGCGGCTCGGTCTCCTGGGACGTCTGGGGTACAGGTCGAACACCGACGTAGAGCAGGGCGACAGCAACAAGTGCTGCTAATGACAGGAACGTAGGGGAGACGCCTGATCGAAGAGGCCCTCCGAAAGGATCTGGAACGGTGTTGGGGAAGTGCGCAGGACTGCTGTTGCGATAGAACAGTGGTGTGCAGGACGAGTTCGTGTGCGAAGTTCCCGGACGCTTGTAAGGCGAAGGTATAACGATGGGATACTGTCTGTGGAGAGGCGGCGCAAAGAGGCGCGCTGCGCGACAGGGTGACTGCGGAAATCTGTCTACTCGGGGGAAAGGTGCTCGCATGGGAACAACTGCGATGCAGAGTAAGATATACTGTCCGAGACGGCGTAGGAGGCGCAGTTCGGAGGATCAAAGAAGCTACCTATGTCAGACGGCCGTCAGCAGTCTGCAGGGCCAACGAGGAGCTCAGATGGCAATCGCAGAGGCACGAGCTGAGACGTCCCAGCAGACGGGAGTGAAGAGGAAGCCGGGAACGGTAATGGGGACGGGGATGATGGGATGGGGCCGGAGATGCAGATGTAGGCGCAGGCGTATGCTTATGCGTAGACATACAGTAGATAGATGTACAGTCCGGCCAAGATGATGGACAAGACAGCTAGCTCGGGGCCAGCTTCAGAGGATCCGGAAATTGCGATTGCACCACGTCGTGGGTAACGAATAGGCTAGGTGGGCAAGCGATCAAGGCCGAGCCCCAGGTCTCGGTCCGAAGAATCCAAGAGCTGTCTACTTAGGCATATGCCCGTCCGTACTCGTATAGTTTTCGTATACAGAGCGACAATGGCAGAGGAGGGACGAAGGACGAGGCACGAGGGGCGGGACGGGGCAGTGGAACTAGCCCCCGAGCGCTCCGTGACGAGGTGAAGGGCGGGAGCAGGGAGAGAGAGAACAGCGCGGCCCGTTGGGAGTGATGGAGCTGGGACCTGGGGTACTTGATGAGGGACATCTGGAGTAGGAGGGAGCGAGAGAAATTGGTCCCGTGCCTGGGCCTGAGTCTCCAGGGCTGGCGGGGTCGGCCAAGACTGGAACCCGCAAGCCCACATCGCATTCGGCCTTGGAATGATCATCGAAATCCAGAATGAGATGTGCGTTCCATGCCTCGCGCAGGTAGGCCGACTGCGGGACTAACTGGACAATGCAGCACTCCAGGGACTGGGTTCCCGCAGCCCGTCTTGCAGCCCGGGACTCTTCGGCAGCTGGGGCTGGCAGGCTGGCCCCTGGAGCAGGGACCCCTCCAGCACCGGGGAGCACGTGCCAAGGCTCCAAATTGGGGCCTTGTGGTGGTTGTCGATAGCTGCCCCTCCAACGGCCCCAAAACAGCTTCAGCAGGTCAATCGTGAGTCGTGACAACAACGCGTCAGAGCTGGCCAGGGACACCGCACTCAGCTCATTCATAACGACCCTGGGGAATGCTACACGACCTCTTCAGCATCCCACAACCACAAACGCAAAAAACAATGTCACAGGAGCGAAAGCGGTCAACGTCGCGGACAAGGGTCTCGCGCCCAACAACGCCGCTGCGGCCCTCATCTCGCTCCTCCTTTCGCGAATCAGCCAAGGCAAGCACCAGCGGCGGGCCCTCATTCCCTCTCAACGCCTTCGAGCCCGCCTTCGCTGAGCTGTCTGACGCCATGTCCGACCTCGAGGCCAACATGATGCATTTCCAGCTCATGCATGAGAGCCTCGCCCGTTTCAGCGAGAGCTTCGCCAGCTTCATGTATGGTCTCAACATGAATGCCTTCTGTGTCGATTACCCTGAGGTGCGGCCCATCTGACCATCTACCTCGACCTCGGTCGGCAGTCTTACTGTCCTATGGACGCAGCTCGTTAACATGACAGGCAGGGGCCCATATCAGAGTCGTTCCGCAGGGCAAAGCAACAAGAGGAACAGGCGACAGCACAGGTACCTGACACAAAGCCTGCAGGGGACCCCGAGGGCGAGACCACATTTATGTAATTGGCCCGACCCGCGCATGACTTGACCGCACAGTAGGCTGAATGATCGTGCTTCTAGGACCACAGACACGTCCTTCGTTGACAACCCGTCTTCAACGAGGACGGCTGTCCCCAAGTTCCAAACCCCAGCCCCAAAGACGAGGACGTCGCGGGTGCCTGCGCCGTCTACCCGTGGCGGCAGCCAGACCCGAGGAGGCCGTGGTGGCACGCGTGGCACGCGGCCTAGTAGGCTTGCGGCACCGAGGGCCAGAGGCATTAGATGAGGGACTCGCCAGCATCGGAGAGCAATGTGCGATGGCAAACCGCGAGCGACTCACCGCAGTGTGATCTGTAATGATTCTATGGGCCCTGGTGATAGCACCAAAGAGGCACAGGCAATTGTTGATGAAGCCTCTTTCACCGGAGAAGCATTTACGGAGGCTAGCAGCCTCGCCCATGGCGTATTCCGTCCGCATGCGGCAACTGCGTGCAGCGCCGAGTATGAGGGCTGGGATTCACTTAGACGCTGATCAGAAGGATCAACAAATGTGTTTCTTTGGGACCAAAGACGTCCAATTCATCAGCATTGGCAGTCCTAGACGATTAAGAAGCATAGCCGTTGATGAGAATTTATAAACGCGCTGTATATGTCCTTGTTTCTGAGTTCTATGTGCCCAACTCGCCTTGGTCACGCGATGTGGCCGGTCGACTCCATCCCGGAGCACGTTCCCAGCGTCCGCGCCGGGTCGCCGAACGAGACCCACTCTCCGCGTTCCTTCAACGGCAGAACGGACAGGTACTCTCATCAGCCTTCTCATTCCCATCGCCCGCGCGTCAATGTCAGCCTGAACTAGGTGGTGGATCTGTTCAGTGAATTCAACGCTATCTGTTGCCAGTCTCTCTTTGTTTGAATTTAATAACCACATGGCTTCTCAACGGGTCCTACAGTATGTTGCTGGAGCAAAGAAAAAGCCCCCGACGGTGTACCTGCGGTGTCACGTCAAGCCAGGCGCAAGCAAAGTACGGGAGGGCATCACCGCGTTAACTGACAGCACCATCGAGCTCTGCGTATCTGCCGTACCCAGGGGTGGCGAGTCAAACAGGGCTGTACTGGCCGTCCTGAGCGAGGTGAGCGAGTCCTTCACACTCAACCCGCCTCTTCGTCGTCTTGTACACCTTCGGGGCCACGCCCACCCTGTGGTTTCTGCACGAGCCTCATCGGTTGAACTCGTCACCCGCAGCATGGAAGCTGACACCGGACTCAGGCACTCGGCGTCCCAAAGTCAGATCTGCAAATCACCCGAGGTGCCAAGTCCAGAGACAAAGTCGTCGCTCTCGCTGGCAAGGCCGTCCAGGACAGCGAGACGGAGTGCGTCGATCGGCTTTTGAAACGACTTGACGACGCCATTGAGTCGGATGGCCCTTGATCCTCAGGATACGGGAAAGAGGACAGCATCGAAGAGGTTCGGTCCGGACCATGGAACCACGATCCGATCATATGGAACCCGAGACAGATAAGCTGATGGCCAAGATTTGCCCTTGGGGGTGCTATATTCCAATGGGACAGGCTGCCTATCAGACTTCAAAACCACTCACAAGGAGAATTACATGCAGTTTCTGGCAGCAAAAGCAACGCGAATTGTGTTCAGGGTTGCAACGGGCAGTCATGGAATGATCCACACAACAGGCCAGCAATGATTCACGACACGCATTCGCGTCTTCGTCCGCTTATGGGCAGCATACGCCACATATGACACCTCAAAGCATACACGGCAATATTGACGAGCCAATATTTGATAAGAGTGGCCATGTTGGCAGGATGACTCTCTGCCACCTTTCGCACGCGAGAGAGCAGAGTTCATGACTAGCACGGCGGCGCCCTTCCGTTCTATACATTAGTTCCGCTCATACTGCGGCCGCCCGGTGCTCAGGGGCGTACCGCGGAAGTATTCATGGGCCACTACACCGTCATCACAAACTGAAATCGTGAACTGTGCATTGAATTTTAAAAATCTGCAAAGATGCTTAATTAATCATACAAATGCCTTGCTGGCCTCTGCAACTCAATATCTTAAGCATTCCAGTTAACCTTGGAAGAGGCGCTGAGGACTTTGTCGGCCAGGGACTTATTGGTGCCAGTCCCATCTATGTTACGGCATAAGAAAGCCTATTGCGCTAGACACCCAAAAGAGGGACGTTGTAATGCCGAGAACATTACCATGGCTATTACCTATATGCATATTATATTTTTACTTAAAAAAGTTATTATTATAAAAGGTAAACCTTATAATATTTTTATATTTAAGGGTAATAAAAACGGTATTTTAAAAGTTTATAAAAAGGTTATGATAAATATAAAAATAATATTAAATATTATAAATTTAAATAATAAAGCAAGTAATATAATAAAAGTAATAATAACTTTTATATAATGCATTAACTTAATATTTAAGTAAAATAATTAAACTTTTACTTTTTTAAATAAAATAAATTAAAGTAATAATGCTTAATAAAATATTATTTATTAAAGTTAATAATTAATAAAAAAGCTTATAAAGTAAATAATTATAATAATAATTACTTATTAAATATAATAAGTTTTTAAGGTTAAAGGGAAGGTATTAAAATTATAATTATAAATATTAAGTATTATGAGCTTGCCTTAGGTTGTTTGCTGTAAAGTGCCTAAATAAGGTTTATATTTAAAGTGCAGAAAAAAAGGTTCGCTTCTTGTTTATACCTGCGCCAAAGCCTATTCTTATAGGGTTAAAGCCTACTAATTAATTACAATGGGCAAAGCTTAAACCATAATATATCCTCCTTTTCCAAGTCCTTATAATAAGCCCTAAAGAGCAGCTATATAATAAAAAATAAAGAACGCCATAATTTAATTATAAATTAAATATTACTTTTTACTTAGCCATTTAATTACACCTTAATACCTCTTAATTACATTAAAGGCCTAACTTATAATTTATAATTAATATACCTTAGCTTTTATAATTTAATATATTAGCTAAAATAAGCTAATAAAAGATAATTATTTAAGTATAAGTTAGTGGTTAAATTAATAGCATTTTTATAATCCTTTAATATAAGTCTTTTATATAAGCTTTTTTACTTAAAACCTTAAAACCGCGGATTTATTATATAATTTGTAATTAATTAGCGTTTAATTGCAAGTAATTTACTTTATTAGCGGGAATTTCTTAAATTTTAAGTATTTTTATAATGCTAAATTAATTAATATATAATTAACTTACTTTAAGCTTAAGTTAATATTAAGCTAATAATATTTTTAAGCTTTATCTTATAAAAAAATTTTATACCCCCTTAAATAAACTCCTTTCCCTTATTAGCTTTAATTAATAAAAGCTATATTTTTATTCTTTTATAATAATTAAAGTAATTATGCTTATAATAATTAAATTAACTATATATAAAATACTTAACTTTGCTTATTAAAATTATTATAATATTAATATTTATTGTATTAGCTAGGTTACATATTATAATACAACGTTTAGTTAGTATAATAGTTAATTATTGCTAACTATGGAAGGGAGGAAAGCAAAAAGCCTAACTATACTAGCTATTTCATAGGCAGCGCCAAGGCTACTGCTTATTAAATATCTTAATAAATTAAAGCTGCTTAATCCTAAACAATTTTTCATATAAATAATACTTATTATTCCTATACTAGCAATCTTTATTTTATAAATGTATATTACTTTTAAAAAGTATAAAAAAAAGGAAAGTATTAAGTTAAATTAAATTTAAAGTTAAAAAGCAATTAATTAATTATATATATAAATTAAATTATAAATGCGCTATCATTCCGCTATGCTATATTATTATAAAAGGCAAATATATAAAAAGGCTTAAATTATTATTAAAAGGTTAAAGATTAATTAATTTCTTAAAGTATATAATTAATAAGCAAAAGTTAATTAAGTATATATATATATTAAAACATCTTAATTATATAAATTTAAAAAGCTTAAAAAGTTATAATTATTATATAAATATTTTATTTATAATATATTTTATAAATTTATACTTTTATTACTTATAACGCTTAAGTTAAATAAGAATTAAATTAAACCCCTAAATTATTAATATAATCATTTAATTTTTAAATAACTAACATTTCTTAATTTAACTTAACTTAAGCTTTGCTATGCTTAATACCGCTTATTAAATAAAGAAATTAAAAAATATAATTAAAAAATAAGTTATTAAAATAAAGGTTAAGTAAATAAAGTTAATAAATTATAAGGATTAGTAAATAAGGTATTTAAATAAAGGGAAAAGTAAGGTATAAGATGAAAATTATTAATTAAATTAATAAATAGCAATATTCTTAATTTTAATATATAAATATTAAATTATAAAATTTAATTAAAGATACTTATTAAATATAAGTTAATAACTTAAGTATTTATAAAATAATAATAATTCTTATTATTTAAACCCTTAATGCATAAGCATTATTATAAAAATCTTAAATATAAGGTTTACTTTTAAAAAGAATATAATTTAAAGTTAATTAATTACATTATATTATAAAGTAATTTATAAGTAACTAATAAATATAAATTAAACTTTTATACTTTTATTATATATTATCTTTTATTAAAAAAATTATTTTATTATCCTTTATTAAAAGTCTTTAGCAATTAATTATCTTTATAATTATATAATATATATATTTAAATTAATTATATTAATATTAATATAATAACTTTATAATATATAGTATAATAATAATATTTAAGATTATATTAATATAATTTATTAATAAGTTATTAAATTATATTTTAGTAATTTAAGTTTAAGCCTTAATATATTATAATTTTCCTACCTTTTTATTATATTTAAATAATTACCTTATCTTTTTAGCTATAATTTATATAGCTTTATATCTTAATTATAATATTATTTATATTTATAAAGTATTAAAAAGTGCTATTAAAAATACTTTTTATAAAGGCATTAATTAAATTGCAATCTTTAATAATTTAATAAATTTTAAAAATTTTATGCTTTTTATATAATTATTAAAGAGCTATAATATTAATTATAAGGCGCTTTTTTTTTATTATGCTAAGCTTAATTAAGTACTTATATAAGGAGTATAAATTAATATATATTATAAAAAGAATTATTATAATATTTAAATATATAATAATTTAGCGTAAAATAACCGTTAATATTATAACTATATTAAAGCCGTTAATTATGTTATAAATCTTTAAAACCAAAACGCTTTAAGTTACTCTTTAATACTTTATTAAGAATTAATAAATAATATTACCTTTAATATTTTATTTAAAAGCTTATAAAGTTTATATTTTATTTATAAGTATAATAATAAAATTAATTTATAAGCTAAGGTTTTTATTATTAATAAATAAGTTATTAATAAAAACTATTAATTTAGCTTAAAATAAATTTAAGGGTATATATTAAAGTTTATATTTTAAGTTATTAGCTTATTATTATAATTAATAATTTAGCTTATTATAATTCTTATAAAAAGGCTTTTAAATTTAAGTTATTATTAATAAGTTAAATGCTATCTTAAATTAATAAATAAAAGCAAAATATACTCTTTATATATATTGCTTTATATATTATTAAGCATAATTATTAGCTTTATTATTAATAAGCATAATTTTCTTACCTTAACCCTTTTAATAAAGATATAAAATACTTTTATTAAAAATGCTTATAATTATATTATTAAAGATAAATAACTTATTAAAGGTAAGTATTTCTTTTAACTTATATTAAATATTTACCTTTTTAATTTTTTATTTTTTTCGCTTTAAGAATATTAAAGTATTAAGGGATAATATATTATTAATTTATATAATAATAATAATAAAAATATCCTTTCCTTAATTTGCAATTAAAAGCATAAGTTATATATTAAAATAATTATACTTAAATCATTATAATAAAACTTATAATAAGTTGTTTATTAATATATATTAAATTTAATAATATTATATAATAATTTAATAATTTATATAATAATCTTAAAAGAATATTTATTTTAAATTTTAAGGGGTAAATAATATAAAATAAGTTGCTTAAGCTTAAACTTTAATTAAGAATATATTTAAATAATATTTTAAAGCTTTAATTAAAAGCTTTATATTAAAAGAAATAAAGTTAAAGTAATTAAAAGCCTTTAATTAATTTTTTAAATAATTAAAAATTATATAAAGATATTATGCTTATCCTTATTACTATATTTAATAATAATAAATTATGATTTTTTATATAGCTTTTTAATCTTGCCCTTAATCTTATAAATAATATATAACTTAAAAAGCTAAATATCTTTATATATCTTAAAATTAAAGCATTTAAAGTAAAAAATATTATTATTAATTAATTTTATAATTTTCTTATAATT